AAAGGGTTTCATGACTATTTTTTACTTCAAGAAAAATAAAATGCAAAATTTCTCCAGAGCCTCATCACCAACCTGTGCAAAGTAACTCCATAAGTTAGTGTACACAACATGGCATTGCAGCTCATCTGGCTCAATTCCTTTCTAAATAAACCCAGAGTCCTGAGTTTCTCCCAGTCACCAATTCATTACAGAAGATACTTTCTGGTTTCCATGAACAAGCTGCACAGGGAACAGAGGGTGCATACACAGTGACAGATTCAACAAAGGACAGAACAGTCCAGAGCTGCACAAGCTCAATTCACTGACTTCCTCTGCTCCTACCCAGCACTCCTATCCCACTTCTGCCCAATGCCATCCTACTCTTCCAAAAAACTGAGATACCCCTCTGGGAAACAAAGTCTAAATCACAATCCTTCTTTCAACCCCACTCTTCAGCTTAGAGCTCCACAGAGATGAATTCAGCAGGGCTAAGTGCTGTTCTGTAGAAGAAGTGTCCCCTTTTTCTTCCATCTCATCTGGAACACGTTGGTCCTGTGGAGGAGAGAGCTGTACAGCACCAGCCCACCACAGAACAAGAGGGGGGAAGAAAGGGCGCCCCAGACAGTGACACAGAGCAAAAGGAAGAAGCACAAGTCTGGTAAACTAACAGGCCTCAAGGCCTGACTTCATTTAAGTATTTATGGTTCACCAAGTTTATTGTGCACAGTCTCCCTCTCTCCCCATCACACAACACAGTCAGGCACATTACACTTATTGCTTAGCATCTACTTGAACAATTTTAAACCACATCATGGTTCACAGTCTGCAATGAGCTGCTCTGAGTGAAAGAAACTGATCTGGCAACACCCCAAAACTCCCAACCAATGCAGAGAGCAGCAAGATGGTGAGAGGCTGGCAAAAATAAATGAAATAGCTGTAATTTCATTCCTTCTCAACACACACTGGCCTCTACATGTGTGAAGAAAGACCTTTAATCACCTCACCATTGCACAAACACACCTGAAGGAAGATAATCAGGCTGTTCATGTTTAGAGTTTGGAATGTTACACCTGTATTTGGCTTTTCCTCGTATCTGTGTGACGGGAAAATCTTTAATCAAGCACAAGATCTCTCAGAAGGAATCTCAGCCCAGAGACAGCGGCAAACCTCCCCAACCCCGGGCAAGGGCTGCCACCCAGTGCCTACAAAGGTAACTGCACGCACTGAAAGAGAGGAAACTTCAGTTGCTCAAGCAACAGATCCTGCTTAAAATTTTCCTCTGTGGCCTCATAAACAATGTACTTTACACATCAGAAAAAAGATAATTCGAACAGGGAAATATTTCCTGTACTTCATGTTTATTCAGTGTTTTACAATTTCATGCTGCTACAGACAGTAATCCCTTCATAATTATCATTTATGCAGAAAAAGGGGGGAGGAACCCACAAAGTGGGTGAACCATCCTGACAGAAGCTTTCTGAAATACACTGTCAGGACAACTCAGAAGATTTTGTAGTGCAGGCTTACCATTCATAATATCATCTATTAATCTACTTAAACTGCATGATGCCAAATATCCTTTGGGTTAGGAAACATTGCTGTAAATCTAATCCCAGAGGGAGAGGTGTGAGCCCCTTTCCCTGCAGGAACCAGAATTGTGCTTATATGAGACAGCAGGAGAGTTTTCCATCATGATCAGTCAGGCTTTCTGGGCAGCACCAGCATTAACAACAGTTTGTATTTCCCTCTGTACAGATGTTCATTATGCCACAGCTGGAAGGCAGGCAAGACACCCTGAGAGTTCACACAAATGAACCACTCACCTCTGCCCCATTTACAATCAGATCACAAAAAATAAAGAGAGGTAATGCTCTCCTTTCTTCCACACATCTTCAAAACTGCACTCCCATTCAACTTCATTTTGCTTTCACTGAGGCATTTTTGTTTCTCTAACACAATAAATAAAAAACTGAGCATAAAGAAAGCAAAGGCATGATGTGAATCCACCCATCATTACTTACTTCTCCTGTGATTGGATTGGTTCCATATTTCTTTATCCAAGGTACAATGCTCCTGAAAAGAGAAGGGATAAAGTAACTCATGACAAGCACCATCAGAAACCTCTACTGATGGTCATGACTGTTTTTGCCAACTTGCTAAGTCTAAATGATGATTACACAGCTGTAACACAAAAATAAAGCTAAGTACAGACAGGAACTTACAGGATGTCAAAGACTGTCCCATCTGGTGTGCAAACTGGGTACTCAAATGGCTGCAGAGACAAACTAGAAAAAAGAGAACACAGCCTTGTTAGCAAAACCAGGTGGAAATCATGATGTAACTGGCAATCACAAACAGCATCCCTAACAGGATCCCTAACCTCTCCTCCCATAGTCCTGGCAGCTCTGAGCTTACAGGTGTGGAAGGCAACGGCCTGAACTACCCAATCTACAGGGATTTCCAACTCACTTCTACCAACTCTCCTCCTGCACTCCTGCACTTCAAGCAGTAAACTCTAAATGGAAAAAACCAGCAGAAATATTTTTCAATCTACCTTAATCTCTATCTTAGCAAGATGAGTGACTGACCAAACATATTCTGAGCAGGGACAAGCAGATTTGAGCCCTGAGGACACAGATTTGGAAGGCTGGGACATACACAGTAATTGTTCTGCATTATTTCATCACTTGTGCATCCTTTCAGCCATCAGCTCCAACCTCTGCAAACACTGATCACAGGTCATGCAGACTCTGTTTCAGTTCTTATTCAACTTTTTCTTGCCACACTACTGCCACAGCAGGCACAAGGCAATGAAAGTAACTGCCTCAGAAGAACATGGCTTTAGTTCAGAGTCAATAGACTGATAAACAGGTGTGTCATTAAATAATGATAATGTAAATTTGTTGTCTTACCTGCAGTGATCAAATGATAAACGTCTAAAATTGGTTCGTGGAAGGTCTGTTTATGGAAAAAGAAAACCCACTCAACAAATTTTAATAAATACATGGTTTTATAGGTAATCAAGAAACATTTGAAAGTTACGTATTGCTACGTAGCCGGCGGTAAGTTACTGATGACAAGGATAAATACCCTAAAGCTTGCGAAACTGTAACTAACATTTCCGAACTGACACTACACTGCCGGAAAACCTTCAAAACAGAGCTGTGACAGTCGGACAGGGCTGAGTTTAAATGTGGTAATTAAAGCTCAGGCCCTGCCCCAGCAGCGGGCACAGTCCCGGTGAGGGCTGGGACGCTGATCCGGCACAGACGCGGCCGTTCCGAGCACCAGAGGGCTGAGGGCTCGGGGCCCGGGCTCTGAGGGAGCGGCTCGGGGCTCTGAGGGAGCGGCCCGCCCCCCTTACCCTTACCCGCTTTCTTGCCGCCGTAGAACTGCGTGTACTCGGCGCACGTGATGTACCTGCGAGACAGGAGGGTCACTGAGCACAGCACAGCCACGGCCCCGCACAGCCCGGCCCCCCGCGCTCTCCCCCGCACCCCCCACTCACATTTTGTCCTTCTGGTGCTGTCGCTTCCCCATGGCGGCGGCTCGGCCTGCCCGGCCCGCGCTGCGCCTCAGACCCGGCCGCGCCTTCCGCCGGGTGCGCCGGGGAACGGCCGCGGTGCGGAAACAGCGGCGGCGGCAGGCGCGTTCCGGGCCGTGGGAACAGGCCGGGATGGCCGGGGATGCTCAGCCTGAGACCTCAGGGCAGCTTTCCAGGGCTGCCGCTTCACTAAAACATGTTTTCTGGCCTGGAATTTAAAATCTTTGTGTTCCTGGTCTGTTGGGCAGCGACAGAAACTCCCAAGAAAAAATGGGTAAAAAAACCTACTTGGTGTCTTAATATGGATACAGCTTTTCACAAAAAAAGTATTTCAGTGTCTCTTCAAAGACTTAATGACAAAGAATTTACTGTCCCTTACGAATGGCATGACCAAGGCTGAACAGAGGATGAGCACAGCCCTGATCCCTTGCCTTTAGCAGGAGGACACCACCAGTTGTCCTGGAGCTTTCACTTATCAAACAAATCCATTCATGCTCCTTTTTTTCTTTCCTTGTTAAACCATCATCCTGGCACTGCCCACACGGAGCCACTGGAATGACATCCATGGAAGTGCACAGCCAGACTCCACTGACTGCACCAGGCTCCCAGAAAATGGTGTTCAACTCCTGTTTCAATGCCATCAGCTGGTTCTTGGCTGCATCCCTGAGCACATCCTGCTCAGCTTGCAGGGGGTTATACTAAATGATTTCTGAGAGTCCAAGATTCCATGTTGTTATGGTTCTGTTCTGAGGAACAGAATACTTGCTCCCACCACTGTAGTCTAATTGGCAACAGCACACAAATGATTTACAACATTACAACTGGTTCCCTTTGGCCACGGCAGCACAACTATGCTTTGTCCTGGCTGAGGGGAAGGTTATTGCTTGTTAGATGTTTAGGGAAGAAACTGCCCTTTTACAAGGGTTTAAATACACTTAATCATTATGATTCTCTTACTCAAAAACATTTCAAAGCAAGGCACTGAGGCGCATCTAAACAGCAGGGCCTGCAAAGAACCAACACCTTCACTTGCTCCTGTCCCAGCACCAAGTACACTCTGGGAAAAGAAAACAACCTGATTTGTTTCCAGTGGAATTCCAAAAGCACTCCACAAGGAACATACAGCCATAACTGCAGAAAGCTCCCTCCTTGCTGCAGCGCAGGCACTCTGCTCAGTGTGAGGGAGCCTGCTGGCTCTGCCTGACAGGATGAGCACTCCCTGAGAGGATGAGCACTCCCACAGCTCCTGCTCCCTCAGTTGAGATGGGCTCCAGGGGCAAACACTGGAGCTGTCCACAGACATCATCAGCACTTGTCTGATCGTGCTTTCTGAGGAAAGATCATCCAGACAAAATTATTTATTTCCAGACACATTACTGTGATTCAGACTGTGTTGACATTTCTGGACATGCCTGTGCTCTTTGCAATAATTCAAGACCATGTTTTTGCTTTTTGTTTTTTTTTTAAACCAATGCAATGTTCTTTTATTTTGTACTTACAAAAAGAGCCACCCCATTGTATCCCTCCCCCTCCCCCCAAATGCCTTTTACAAACATTGAAAAATTAAAAACCTGATGATGACATGTTAATTTGGTAGAATTACTTTGAAACATAGCCTTTGTAATTAAACTCCTACAAGATGACTTTGTAGTGATAGCCTGATTATTGGCCAAATAAAATTCCATATTACAAGTTAGCAAATTCTAGTACAAAAATAGTCCATGTGTTAGAACAGCCTCTTATTATTATTATATTCACAGGAAAGAGTCTATTGGCTGCATAATACCTTAATATTTATGAAATTTCTTTTTACGTGGCTCATTCATCTAATTTAATATAGTGTTGAGCCTCAATAAATCCTCAGGCAAAAAACCCCAAACAGGGTTAAATATGCTGTTCAGTGTACTCTGAAGTACTGTGCTTTTCACAGGACATCCAAGAAACCGCACAAACAGTTCTCAGCTAGTTTTAATATTAAATGAGATCCAGATCCAAAAGGATCCCCCTGAAGTACATATCCATGACTTTCCATAGAAACAGAGGTCACAGCTTCAATGGTCAAGTTTCACTGGGGAAACTGTCGAGCTCCTGCACTCATCATTTCCAGGAATCCAGGGACCTCTGTGGCACAGCCCTTCTTCAGGACTGTCCCCGCTGGCCGGGCTCTCGCTCCTCTCTCGTCTCTGTAACGCTGTTCAGCAGTTTCACTGGGACCAGGCCCCGCAGGGAAAATCTGGGGACATACTACTTGTCTCTCAAGATGTCCAGCTGCTCTTGATACTCTGTGAAAAGCCTCTGGAAGCGGAGGTTCTGTCCAATAACAGGAAGAAGCTCTTTCAATAGTTCTCTCTTCCGTAAACCCTGCACAGAAAACACAAAAGCATCCTCAGAATCCATTATTTGTTATTATTAACATGTTCCATGGAGTTCTCTAAGATTCATGCCCTTTTTCCTGCCTAGAGAGAGCTGTGCATTTTATGTTCTCACTCTGCTTCCATGACTCCCAGAATAAAAATTGTCTTTACATTTACACACTCATGAAGCTGGAGGAGCCTCTGCAGCTCCAGACTCCAGGCTGTATTCTGAGAGGGAAGATGTCTTCAGCATGTGCCTGTTTCAAAGCTGCTGTCTCAACATGTGGAGAGTTGAACATGCAACTCTCCTTCATCTGTGTGACAGTGAAGACAGCACCAGAGCTGGCACTGGGGCAACAAGCATTTGCCTATGGTTTCACATGGAATAAATCTCAGTGCCATGGGAGAAAGCCTGCTTATGTGATCAGAGCAGAGTGTGGAAAGGATAATACTCTGTAATTTTTATGGGAAACTCTTCCTTGTTCTTCATTAAACTATTATCAGGACTTACCATAACTGTTGATTCCCACTGACTTCCAGCTGAGTAATGGACTGGACCCAGTAAATCCTTGCATAATTCTCGCAAACGATATTCAAACCCTGGAGATAGTCAGAAATAAAATGATATTTGACAGTGTTTCACTACATATAACCACTCCACAATGTAGCAGACAACATTCAGAAAAGAATTACAAGTATCTGGAATAAAATAAAGCTCAAAACATTGATTTCAGAAAGTTACACGATTATTCTTATAGCAACTCTTTGGACATATAATTTTTAGAGCTCTGAAGGGTCTTATTTAAGGTTCTCAAAACCAAACCCACTACTAAAGATGAATCTACAACAGGGAGAAAAACTGAAGTCTGAAGTAATTACTCCAGCTTGTTTTAAGAGCTGCCCTGATCTGAACCTCACTCTCCCCTCCCACACAAACATACCAGCTTTTTAAAAACCAAAACACCTTTAATAAAACCACACACAGTTTCTGGGCCTCCTTTATTTACCCAAAAATCAGAGGGGGGAATTCCCTTGCAGGAAACAAAGTCTATTCAAGTCTAGCTTGCCAATCAACATACACTAGATCAAGTATTTTACTGGATTAGAATTCGGTAGATGTTGAAATAATCATAAGAATAAAGGGTCAATAATAGGATGTGCAATTTTCAAAGTTCAGCAGCTCTAGAAAATTAGTGAAGCAGCAATACACTTCTGGCAAAGCACAGTTTTTGTGACATCCATCCATCCATCCATGGCAGCAACATCTGGAGGTGCCAGAGGAACCCAGTGCATGCAGCAGAGGTTCTCAGTGAAGGCTTTTAAAAGTACAACCATCTCTTTATTGTAGGACCCAAGAATAATATTTTAATTTCAACTGGGGAAGGACAGAGAGAACCACATGCAGTTCAACAAGCTCTCTTGTTAAATAAGGTAAAGGTGAAAAGGCAAGAATTAATGAGTTTGATTTTAATTCTGCCAACACCTATTAGGTGGTGTAACGTGAACCATTTCATTTCCCTCTGTGCAGAATGATTATGCAAGGTGAGGAGTAAGGCTGAATTAATACAAGGGGAACTACTAAATTATGAATGTAGACAGGCAGAGATACAACAGAGATCTTTAGAATCCAAAAAGTATAAAGTCAGTTAGTTAGCCTTATTTAACATAACAGCATAGAGATAAAGTATATTTAAATATAAAACAGACACAAGGAACTTTTCTTGTGTATTTCTTCTCTCAGAGAATTTAACACGTGGAACTCACCAGTACAGGCAGTTGAAATTTTAGATTGTGAAAAAAAAAATGAAGTGCAAACAACACAAGCAAATTCTCTGCAATTTTATGTGCTCAGGTACAAAGTCTCAGAGACTGAGCAACCCCTCCACCTCACATCAGGCAGCAATTGTTAGCTGGCTGAGGAGGGTTCTGCATTTTACAAAGTACTCCTCGTGGTTTCCCTGAAACATCTGTAGGTGCTGCCAGATAATACCTAGGATGTGCCTGCCAGACCACTGGGCTGTTTCACAATGCAACTGCCATTCCTGCAGTCTGCAGATGGCACTGCTTCCCCAGACAGTCTGTCCCCAGTCACTGTGTCCAAACAGGACTCCCGAGGACTCAGCACTGCAGCAGGAAATGCAATTTGTTTTGGTTTTAAGCAAACCCAAGTCCAGAAGCCAAGTGCTAAAAGGAGGATGTTAAGGGCAATCACACACATACATGACATGAACAGAGTGTTTCTCAGAGCTGCAGAGAAGCACCAGAGCCTGGCAGGTCTCACCTTCATTAACTAGGTACCGTGCATAGATAAGGAGCCAGTGGTGATATTCGTGACTGGATTGTAAAATAAGTGCTGCTGCTATCTGGTTCTCCAGGTATGCAAGTGTTGTTTCTTGTTGCACTAAATGAGGCATGGAGAACAATCTTGCAGCTTGCCTTCCTGAACTGCAAAAGCAAAAAGATTAATGTGCCATAAAATCAGATACAAGTTTAAGGATTATGTCTTTTTGCAGCACTAGCTATACTGCACCAATCTTCCAGAGGCACACAAGACATAAAAAATTTCTTGCATACAAACACGTTGTCATTAGAAATCTAATTTGAAATTCTAATTCTAGTTATTAGATATATAATTCTAGTTATTAGAATTTTTTTTCAAAAAGGGAATTTTTCATTCTGTTATTCTCTCTCTCTCTCTCAAAAACAGTATTGATTGTTTATATTTCAAATGCTTTTCACAATGAACTCCCCTTCCCTTCATGAGAACAGTAATAAAATCATACAACACTACACAGTTTCTCTCCAGAAAAAAATTAAACTTGAATGTGAAGGGCAGAAATAGCAAAGAAATCTGCCAGGGAAATTGAATTCAAATCCAAGGGAGGATGGGCTATAAAGCTACCTACAGGAATCTGCTCTGGCTCACACAATTCCTTGGTGATATTTTCACATGTTAAAAATACTCACTAGATGACTAATATCTCAACTTTCTCAAAGACTTCATTAAATAGATTCTTTGAGGCCAACTGAACTAACTCAAAAATTGCAGGCCTACTCCAGAAAGCTGGTAAACTAAAAATTAAAATGTAAAATGCAAAAAAGTGCAGCTTAGCTAATAAAAGTATAACAGAATTGTCCAATACCTTACTCATCCAATAAAGAGGAAACTTAAAATGATTATATTCAGAGCATGTTTTCCTGCCCCCCAAACAATCTCATAAGATTAAGATACAGACTATAAACACGCAAAGGATCACTGTGTGAATGACTGATCATTTCAGAGCCACTGGCATTTCAGAAATAACCCAGTGACCCAGGCAGATGAGTGAAGACCATGACAAAACCCAACCACGCTGGCACGACATACTTGGATGTGCGTCCCTGTATCACAGCCAAGGGCCCAGAACACTGCATGGCTTCTTGAGATGGCAAACTAGTCCTGAAGTCTGCACATTGTGCTAGAGAGTCCTGTTTGTCAGAAACAAGATTCCTGGAAAACAGCAAAAAACCAAAAAACAAGTCTGAGGAGTGCAAACAGCAAGGTCAGCAGACCCAGCTCTCTTATGCCTCAAAACTGGATTTGCGTTTTCACAGATAACCAAAAAAACATCACTGAAGTGGCTCAGGAATTCCAGGGACCCTGATTATTCCCACTACATCTCCAAATTCTGCTTGAAGTGTGTCCCTCCTACTCCCAAAGTAAAAAATACTAATTACATAATATAATTTACCATTAGTTTGGAAGGAATTTTCTCCTTGCCATTTTACAATCTAATAAGAAGTCATGACCCAGATTGATGGGTGGAATGAACACAGGTAATGACTTTCTCATTAAGAAATCGATTTTACCTTAGGTCAGGTCTCCCCCCCACCAGACACACAAACATTGACAATCTTTTCCATAATTACAGCTATCCCTTCATATGGAGGGAGCTGACATTACAGCTGCCATTTCCACACCTAATTAAGGATATCATCTTCACTGGCTTGAGATGCCAGGAGAAAGAGTGGCTCAAACCAATGCTAAGTTTAGATTTCATACAGCACAAGGGTAAAATGGTACAAATATTTAAAATACCCTTTGCTGTTTTATCATGTTTAAATTTTTAGGATGACTAAACACATTGCTCTTTTATATATTTTCCAAGCTGTGGTACAAACTAAGAAATAGCAGCAAATTCACAATTATGGCTGAGAGTCTGTCCCCTGCTTCTTACTCCCTTAATAAACAAATAGGGTATTTTTCCTTTTCCAGAGGATTCGCTTCAAGTAGTTGAATAACAACAATTATTCTAAGGAGGAGTTAAAACAATAAGCCCTTTCATCCAGCAGGCTCATTACACTAATTACAACAATTATATTAGGATTACAACATGGTTTTTTTTTTCTTCTTAGGAAACAACAAAGAACCTGTTTTGGAAAGTTCCTGTAAAAAATTTACCCAGGAAATTTTTCACAGGAACTTTTGCCTTTCCATGGGGAAAGCCCATCTGATCCCCAACAAGACACAGACTCTTGTGTAGCCTTTCCTTGAGTTTAGCAATGACTCTTCCATGACTCTGAGGTGGAATGATTTCTTCCCAGTAAACCAGAACACGTCAGCTCCTGTGAGTTGCAAAATGAGGAAGTAATCCCTGACTTACCATGTAGAAAGAGAAGGATTAAAGCAGTATGCCTTCCCATCAGACATGCTCATGACAGGAATTCCATGCTGAGTCAGCAAGATCTGAGAGACAGTTGCATCACTTCCTGCAAGTCAAAACAGACCAAAGTGTTTCTTTTAGAGCCTTGCCTAAGACTCATAATGGTAAAAAAAAGGGTATCTACCATTTCTTATCAATTACAGCAACTAACAGAAAAAGGTTCAATGTTGTTCTCAAGCACTGACAGGAAAGTCAAGACACAAGCTAATGATGGCAAGCACCAGGCTCAGTGCAGTAGCATTAACATCAATTTTGCAAAATACATTATCAATCTTGATGCTGCAATTTATAGAGAAAATGGGCTAAATTAGGAACATTCTCCTCATCTAGGGAAAATCTTCAGCAATTCTGCCATGTCTTTTGTAACCCAAAAAGCCTTTAGCTTTCTTTTCCCCATTAAATTAAAATTATAATCCCCAGCATATTTAGAAAAGTGTGCTCTCTAAGAGCACAGTGTAAGTGGGATAGCTGGAGTCTCATTTCCCAGCATACTCCAAGCTCAGGGCTTGTGCATGTAACTTCTAATGATGACATTTGCAAACTGCTAATACAACGGCTTTCTAGCTAGTTTGGATTAGTACTGGATGGATTAAAGCTAAAGCAGGAGCTAATGTACTCTGAGACACTGCTTTTCTGATGATTTGTGTTGTGCCAGATATTGCAGTGATTGAAACTGAAGATTTTTAAGTAATGAATCAGAAGATAATCAGTTGTTGTTCAGCACTGAGACAATAAACATGCAAATTACAGAGAAATTGCTGTAATAGTAGATTTACATTAAGTATTTATTTTGTGATCTTCACAACACTGAATTTCTACATTCAGAAGCGAGGCAGACTATAAGCTACAGAATCTCACACAAGTTTGCTACTCACTGATATTGTCATCACTGTTATTTCAAGAACTTCCCTTTACTACACAATAATGAAGGGAAATTATTTGTTTAGGTTTTTTAGGTTTCATAGAATTTCAGCATATTCATAAATGGCACTAAATAGTACAGGTGGGCTCAAAGGTTGGTAATTAAAGGACTTTTTTATTACCTGAAAAAATTGTTTGCAAAGACTCATCTCTGACAATGGCTGTCTGCTTGTGAACATCCCTGAAAAAGACAAAAGGACAAGTCTGCAGTCAACAAACAACTGAAAACTCCAAAATCTTTTAATAAATGCACTTTTTTTGTTTTGACATTTTCTTCATTGCTTTGACAAAATTATTTTGGCAAACTTAAACCCCTTGTGGCAAGACAGAAGTTAATAGCAGAGAACAATTTTTATGGCTCTTTATCAGGAAACCTCATTACAACAAAGCAAACAGGATCTAAATAACTCCTTTAGGAGCTCTGACTTGCTGAGACATTAGATTGAATCCAACAACTGCAAATGAGTTACCAGTGTTTTTATCTTGGCATCTTGAAAATGGCTGGAGAACTTTAACTCTGAAACTCATGTGCTTCATTGGTAAAGTGTGATGGAAGATGGAAGTATCCACACTTCTCTTCCCCACCCCCCTATTCCATTCCACATGCATCACAAGCATTTAAACTGATTAAATCCAGCTGATTCTTTATCTTCATTCTAGAATGAAGTTCAATATTTTGCACTGTCAGAACAGAACCAGGATTTTGCTGGAACAGAACCAGTCCTGCCCAGTTAACTCTGCAGATTCTATTCAAAAGTGGACTTGTGCTCAGAGCTGATGTGGTTTAAGCTCCTGTCTCAACAACTGAAGGTACCCATGAACATGAGGCACCGTGGCCCTTACCAAACAGAGAGCGTAGCAGCAGTGGTGAGAGCCATGATGCAGGAGCCTGTGCAGTGCAGGGTGGAAATGGGTGTGTTCAATATTATAGGAGGAAGAAGGCGACGACCACAAGCTGAGAATACTGACAGCGTTCGTTTTTCACAGGCCACAGTTACAATCTCACTGGGGGAAAAAAAAAACCCAAAACAAATAAACAAGAAACATTTGTGTGTTGTCAAATGCAAGTAGCATAAAAACAGGCTGAACTCTTAAGCTATCACACAACTCGGGTAAATTCCCTAAAAAATAACTATGGCAGCTTTAAGACAAAATTTTCAATACCAAGAGGAGAAGTCATAAACTAAACAGACCAAGGGGCATAGCTGGAAATATCAGTAAAGCTTTTGGTTATACACAAGCTCTCCCTCAAGGCTGTACTTGTATTTAGCTTTAAAATCTCCTGCTTCTTTTTCAGACCTAGATAGGGCTCAGAAATACACTTTCAGTTGAAACTCTGAAGTTGGAACTAGGCAAAATTGAGAAAAATTAAGAGAAAAAACAGCAAAAGACTCAGGAAAATACTTCGACATGTATTTCCATATGCCATTTCAAATTTTTCATTCTTTAGTAGTTAGCACTTGAAAACCTGTCACTTACTATTTAGTCAACTTTAATGAAGAAATTTAAAGGAGAAATGTAAAAACACAGGAAAATAGTTGTAACTGGCTAATGCAAATTGTGATGTTTTAGGACTGCATAGAGTTAATTCTTGAAGCAAAACCTGAGACTAAGAGCGGTGCACACGTTTACCCACAAATATTATGAAAAATAACTGTAAACTGTACTTTTGTACACCTAAAAATGTCTTCTGGCCTTCAGGACCTCCTTCCTCCAAAAGATACTCTCTTACCAGCTTCCTGCTGCAGCAAGGATTCGACTGGTGAGGACTGTCTCCCATTCCTTCCCTTCCCTATTACACTTTAACCTGCTCAGCTTTGAGCCCCCCACTGCGGTCATTTCATTCTCCACTTCAAGGTACATTGATGGATCTGAACATATCTGAAATACAAAAAATAAAATAATTTTTGGAAGAGGAAAAAATTACTCAAAAAAGCAGCAACTACTATTAGAACCAAAACAATGCTGTCTTTCAGAACACTTTTAAGTATGGCATTCTCTGTTTAATGTGGGTTCAAAATATACCATGGCACTTCAAAAGAAGCAGACCTCTGAAAATCAGCCTTGCCTTAAACACAAGTAATTTCTTTGTATTTGAAGCACAAACATAAGGAAAGGCTGTGCTAGTCTGTCTCTGCTTCCTAATTATGGGCACCAGATCAAGTCTGTATGTGCCCAGTCTCCCCACAGTCTTGCAATTGGAACCAGACTACCACAGCCTGAACACACCTAAAAACTGCTTCATAAATACCTAAAACATTACTATTTGCCAGCCTGTTCAGATGCAGAGCACCTCCAGAGAGCTCTCAGAAGAGCCCTGGTTTTATTCCTCAGTGGTGTACTACCAACCCCACAGCAGTAACAGTGCAGCAGCCACTCCTCCCAGACTCTTATCTCCACCTCACACTTTGGCTAACCAGGGGGAGGGACTGATGAACCAGAGGTACTCACTCCTCTCTGGAGTTTAGCTGGGTGACCCATTTTTAGCTGATTTGCCATTTTCTTTGCTCACACAGACATATTCTTAGAAGCTAAAGCATTATCATCTTGCTTGCTTGAACAAATACATGCATTCAAACGTTAACTCATCAAAGGATGTGAATAACCTGAGGATATTTAAAAGAAAGCAGGATTTTTTTGTTTGTTTTTAAAGTATTTTTCCTTATAGTCCACTTACTTGCAAAGTAAACGATTTCTGTGGGATTGGGGTTGGCAGTTTAAGTGCTAATGCTGGTGCAGAGATGCAAGCAGCATCCTTCTCAGAGGCCAGTGTAGCTGGGGACTGGAAAAAAATTGCAGAAATAGTTACATTTTTTTGTTTAAAAATTGAAAACCAAATATATTCTACCAAATAGACTGATTTGAAAAAGAATTTTCTTAAAATTCCAAATAATGCCAACTGCAAATGTTAGTCTTGTTCCGATCAGTTGTATGAATACAAGTTTTTAAATATAGCTTCTAAGAATCAAAGAAAAACAAAAAAACTTGAAGTGGTCTCTTTTTGTTTTTTGAAAACACCCCTATTTTCAGCTGCAACTAATTCTTGAAAATTCTGCTGTATTACATGGGAAATCTAAGCTCTGGATACAGAAAACACTGGTATCTATATGCCTGAAAATGAAGAAAGCTCTAATGCAACTACTTTAGAGTTCTGAGGAGATTTATAATCATTTAAATCACCATATCCAAGTCACTTTCTTGTTCTTGGACCACTCTCCATCATACACCACCAAAAACTGTTGGCATTTCATTTTATTCTAGACAGTCTTTGGCAGGCTAGCATTACTTAGCATGCTGGGACCTTTAGTAAGTAGCTACATAGTTATATAAAAGATAAACACATTTGCCACACTATGTGCACCTGCTTTTTCTAAGCTTAAATTCTAAAACCAGTAAATTTAAAGGCATGGAAGAGGGATGGCTAAAAATTCTGAGGGACTGATACTACTAGTGTTTCCCTGAGTCAATGGAACAAGTCAACAGGGGACTGACTTTATTAAATGAACTTTGAAAGCTACAATGAATTTTATATATTTCACCTGAACAGTTAAAGTTACTGGTACAAGTCTGGAGTCTTTCCTAGGCCTTCCTTTTTTCTTCTTTTCTACTGTTTCTCCCTCAAGTTCCAGTTTCCGTTTGGGTACACTGAGTGGTTTGACAGCTGGAATCTTCTCTTCACTGTCACTGCTGCTCTCCAGAATGTCCTTGGGCTTATTGTCTTTAATTAAATTCTGATCCTTCAGTCTGTAAAAAAAAAGTCTGTAAAAAAAAACTGATTCCAAAAGTTGCCATATATCCCACACATTGCCTTCTTGCAGATAAGATGACATTTCTGAGCCCTCTTTGAGTGTATTTCAAAGCACACAAAGGCAGGAGGAGGAAGCTGTAGAGGTATGGCAAACCCTTTCCAAAAGGACAATGTGCAATATAGATGTAAACCAAGCAGACATATTCTCCCCTTTAAAAAAAATTAATCAAACCAGCAGTTAGCCATGGGATAAAGCTGAAAATAGCAACTTTACTTAAGCATTCAGTTCCAATTACCATCAGATCTCTTTCCCTGAGCTGATACAAATAAATCAACACTCTAAGATGCAAGAGTAGTTCAACTTTTCCCCTTCAGTGGACATTTGACTTTCTGCTTATTCATGTAGAACTTTTGTCATTCTGTTGTCTACCCCCAGAAGTTGTTCTGTTCAGTTCTGACTGCTGCAAAATGTGTCTCTGCAAACCACACACATGACTTCACTGCCCCAGCTTCCATTCTAGGAAATATAACTATGGAATCACAGAATGGCTGGAGTGGAAGGGACCCTGAAGACCATCTGATTATAACAACATGCCATTGGCAGGGACACCTTCCACCAGGCCAGGTTGCTCCAAGCTCCATCCCACCTGGCCTTGAACACTTCCAGGGATGAGACATCAACATTTTCTCTGGGTAACCTGTTCCAGTGTATATCACCCTCCCAGTAAGGGATTTTTTACTAATATCTTATCCAAACCTGCCCTCTTTCAGTCTGAAGCCATTCTCCCTTGCCCTGTCACTATGTGTTTCACAACCTGTGAAAAGTCCCTGTCCAGGTCTGTTGCAGCCCCTTCAGGCACTGCAATAAGGTCACCCTGGAGCCTTCTCTTCCCCAGGTTATGCAGCCCCAGCTCTCTCAGTCTGTCTTCACAGCAGAGCTGCTCCATCCCTCTTATTACCTTTGTGGCCTCCTCTGGACTTGCTCCAACAGGTCCATGTCCCTAAATAACTGAATATAATACAACCAATACAAAGTACAATCCTTATGAACTCTCTTGTTAACCATTATATCCTAAAATAGGTCATTTAATCATACTCTTCCCTTTCCCTCCAATAGCTGGTTATTAACTCACACTGTTTTGCCATTTATTCCTTAACTACTTGGCTTCAGAGAAATACCTTGCATAATCCAAACCTTTTTTCTCTGGCACCTGAATTATGCCAAACAATACACTTTAATCCATTTTTCAATGACACATTAGAAGCATTTATGAGAGTATATTAATACATCTTGCTTATGCATCACATGGTTAAGCTCTTTAACATAAAAATATTGTTGTATAAAACCAAGTTTCACTGATAATTGGGGAACTACATTCTTTTTTCTTAAGATAGTTATTTTTTTATCATTTGTTTTGGTGAAACAGGAATATTTATGCCGTAACACTATGTCACAAACCAAAATGCTTTCCTTTTTTTTTTTTTAATCACATGGATTCAAAGCCAAAACCCTTTAAGCTCAGAGAATCTTCTATGCATGCCTTCAAGGCATAAAACTGAAACATAACTGCAGCTGTGGTGATGAGAGGTCATCTGCTGACATGTATGGTAATTTACCTTGAAGTAAATCTCTTTTGTACAGAGATGCAGGCTGGCTATTTTTGGCTGGGTTTGTCTTCTAAGGAGTCCACCTGCACTCAGTGACACAGGCCTGTGCACACACAGCCTCTTACAATAATAGTTTTAACTTGGACTATCTTGAAGATTCTGTGTGATATCAAAATGGCAGGGACAAATGTACAAAGGGTAACAGCAGGACAGAACTCACCTATTTGTAGCTGCCCCCTTCCTTCCAATAGTGAAAGAAACCCAAGACAACTTCTAGAGTGTCAGCAGTGTGACATCTACACCACACAGAATTCGTGTTTCAACTCTACCTGATTCCCTTCCTCCCTCCCCAGGCTATGTCCTACCTGTCCACAACAGTCTGGTTTGTGTTTGTTACAACAGCAGTCCCTGAGGTGGCTTTGGATCGTTCTGTGAATCGAGAATCAAATGCTTTCATGGGCTCAATCTTGGATGGAGTTGTCAACACAGAGGAAGACGATGCAGAAGGAGCAGCTGAGGCAGAGGTAGCATTTACACTGTCAAGAAAAGAGACAGCAAAATAAGGATTGAAAAATTTACTACTGGTAAGCTGCATTGTTCATAACAACCAGCACTCGTGATAGTGGCTAGAAACCATGTTGAAAATCTTGCACTCAAGTATATAATCAATTATAATATTCGTTTTCCACTCTTTCATGAAAGCTTTGCTTACTCTCAAAAGCTGTCTGTGGTACACCTCAGAGCTTTTACCCCTTGTTCAGGTTACCAAATATTTCCATTACAATATTATATTTCACTGTTTATCAAGCAAACAATTGGGGATGAAACAATTCATGCCAGGTTTAGATTTTGTTGTTGAAAAATCCAACCTGATTATTAGGCCTTTCCAAGCATAACTCTAGGGTAAAGGAATGTGTTTTCCCCACACTAAAGCATTCCAGGGATCTACTATTTCAATAGCTGTTTACTTTAGAGATTTTTCAATTCATTCAGAGAATTAATTCAGAGAATGAATGGCTCTAAAATAACTGATGCTTGTACTAAAAAGCTGCTAGAAGTACAATTTACAAAGAAAAGGATACTTAATAGTTTCATCTGTCAATCATTTCTCATAGTCCACCCGCTCATTTTTTAATCTGTGGCCAATTTCAACCAAATTTGGTGGAGAAGTAGAGGTTTCAATGACACTATGCTGCTACAAAAACTATAAAAACACACTGAGAAGTCAGGTCAGTGCTACCACTGAGGGAAAAGCAAGTAAAATTCAGTTGTTCTGTAATTAATTTGAAAGACACACTGGCCCATCAGCACATGTGCACTGACAAGCCAACGTCACTGTGCTCTGATGGGGCTGTTGGACAGGAAAAAAGGATCACCATGTCAAAAGAGAGGACTCAGGTCAGAATTTGATGTAAAGTAGGTTTCATTACTTACACTACTGCAACACCTTCTATTGTTTACTAATAGCAACTGACCAACCCATAAGCAAATCATTTTGCTAAAGCATTAGCAATCAGCTGTGCACTTCATTGCACTGAAGTTCACTGCCAGAACCATGCACATGGATTTATTCATTCCCAATTTATCAACATTTAAAGTAACCAAACACTAATAAAATCTCAATGTTTTCAGGAAGATTAGATTCTTGGGGTTTTGCAATAAGGAAACTACTTTAATAATTTCTTCATTATAAAACTATAAATAAGAATTAAAAACTAAACAGATTCATGTGAGTGCAAAACAAAACAGCAAATACTGACCCATCTTTATTGGCTGCATCATCTGTTGGTTTTATACTGGCTGCTGTTGGCTCTACAGAAGGCTTTGAAGTGTTAAGGGAATTTGCTGCGTTCGAATCTAGTGACATGAGCTGCTGGTTACTTTGAGAAGACATCATTGAGCCAGACAGAGTTCCAGATATTGGGATGCTATTGAAAAATGCTGTAGAAAAATCCCTAAACAAAAAGACAAACAACAAATACATTTCTCAAAATCACTTAAAGATAATTCAAAAATAGTAATTTTAGCTAAAATACTTATTCCATTCTTCCTTTTTCCACATGTGGACACTCATATACAACCTAAATAAATCCCCAGTACCTTTCCAGAATAATTTCTCATATCCAAAGGATATTAAAACTGGTACTAATACAGATATGAATCAACAATACATTAGAGCATTGTTCACCTATAACAGTAAATAATGAGAACTAGCCTGATCTATTAGAAGTGAGATCTTATGGCCAAAGAACACTGGTTGAAACTGTATTTTCTTAAGAATACACACTGATTTCCAGTAAGTGCTTTATGATGCCCTAAGATGGAATGCCAAGCCTGGAACAGGGAGAAAAACAAACAAAAAGAAGGCAAAGAAGGATTTTATGGATTACTTCCAAACATACCCAGTGTCCAGTTGAGCTATGCAGAGAGGTGTGATCCTTCTCCGGCCATCTGCCGTTCGTGTTTCCACTTGTTTTTTTAAGAGATTCTGTTGGGAAATACATTTTATCATAATTTCTGATAAACGGGAAATGCTATTTTAATTTTTTTTCAAACTGACAAAAATAGATATATTAGAAGAGGTGCCTCATTTAAAAATCTGTTAGCAAACACTTTCCCATAAACACAAACAATTTTCCAATTTTCAAGCTATCCATCTGTAGAAAGGGCATTTGTGGAGAATGCAATCTGCTCTCCACTTTAGAATCAAGTCTAAAACATTATGCATATCAAATCTTTAATTAAAAGTTGTGTTCTGTGTTTAGGACAGAACTAAATAATGTTTTCAACCTCTGTAATTAAGAAACTGAAACACAGTTCAACAGCTTCTCTGTCATTACTTACTCCTGGTTTCCTTTCTGTACACTAAGAATTTTGCACCCATCACAGAAATATCTACATTGCCTGCCTTCTGCTTAAAAGCATTTAACTTTTCAACAAGTCCCAGTAAACAACCCACTAAGTTGATCAGCTGGGCCATACCCAGGCTGAAAGGTGCCATTAACACAAATAAGGGCACAGAAACTGGTTCTCTCCTAACAGTTTGGTAATTAGTGACTCAGTATTTGCCAGTGCCCAAGAGCACCTACCTTTCTGATGTCCTCCAGACTCTCCCCATTAACCATGCTTGCCACTTTGGGAGCTGTGGAATTCCCAGAGCCTTCCCGAATTGAGGAATTCTTCTGATCCCCCTGCTGCTGCCTCTGCTGGTACTTGAGCATCTCTGGATTCTCAATAATGGTGGTGGACAACTGAGCTTCAGTCATGATAGCCAGGCTTTTGCCATAGGTGGACTGGTGAATGTTGCTCTGGGGGCATTAAAGATGTGAGTGACCATGACATCACTGTTTGTAACACAAGGGAATCACACAAATCTAATAGAATCTATAAAATGTCCCCTGTAGCATTTATACACCAGATTTTTTTTCTTTGTGTTTTCAACTAACACTAAATCAATATGTAAAATAAATGAAATTCAAAGCTCTAGTTGCTAATAGCAATGAGAGGAAAAACAGCCAAGAGCAATCAGTTTAAAAAGACTTGCATATATGCAAGTGAAAGAGTAATTTTATAGTGCTTTGAAGCACTCACTTCTTGCTTTCTTGGCCAAATAATTACTTCAGATGTATAATGATGTGTAAGCAAGTGGATGCTTTCCAAATTCTTTTTTCCAGAAGAGAAACTAATACCACACATTCTCGACTACTCTTTTTTAATGATTTGTAAAGTAGACAAGAGCAACATATTTTCTATAATATGGGAATCAGTTACTACATACTTCTATAAACAGGCCAGTATTTTAATTGAATCAATACATCCCTGAAATATGATCAAAGGTTCTCTGAGTGCTTGCTGTACCTTTTCCTCCTCGCTGAGTGGATCCCCAAGTTCATCCTGGGAAAAGTCCAAAAATGCCACTGATCCATCCATGGAACACACCAGGATACCAAGTCCATTAAGGGTCCTAAGGGAAATAAAGGTCCAACTTTGTTTTTAATCTGTTTCATTCAAGCAAAGATGATGGACTGCTCAATAAAATCAGATGGACTGTTCAATAAAAATCTCAGCTTAAGATTTATTATCACAGCAATAACTCATGGAACCAGAGAAGTGGGACAGTGAGGACACAGGATGACAGGCAGAAGAGTCCCTGTGCCAATGCTCCCTTGCAGACTGCACAAGGATGGTGGCACTGGGACAATAACCTGCTCATGGCAGAAGCAGCACCATGGAAACTTTCCTGAAGGGGTAAACCTGAAGAGTGTTCACAATGAACAGGGAGAGAAAATTATAAATGCATGTCCTTCAATAGATTAGCAACATTTTTGTGCTAATGGAAGTGGGTGAAGAAATGGGCCCTCAGCTGACAGGCAGGCCAAAAAATCTTGGTACTAGGCAAGAACACAGGTTTGATTTTGCTACTGTTCAGTTATTTGGATTTTTAAGCAAACTGCACATGTGTTTATTTGTGGGGACACATAGTAACTCTTTTCTGGAGGTCAGGTTTTCTTAGCAAAAAGAGAGAGGAGAAACTATCTATCATGACAGAATGATAACCTTGCATGTGTAACCTATTATTGCACATTTGAAAAAATACTTGGATTTTGACTTCTCCCTCAGACACTTTCAAGTACAGGGCTCACAGAGACAGTGACACAGTGGCTTACAGATGAATTGTTACACAGAAGGGAAGAGGAAAGGAAAGCTGGACCAACTCCAAAGTCCTAACCAAGTTACTAAAAATCCATTACAAGTACCACAGCTACAGGCATTTGGAAACCCCTGTTTTTGTGGCATGGGTGCCCTGATAGCATCACAGTCAGAGAAATCAGCCTCAGCACCATGAAACAAGGTACACCACCAGTACTCCAAATTAGAAAACAGTAAACTCATGTTGAAAGTTTTCTGTTTGCTTTGCAAAGAAAATTGCTGAGCTCCTATTGACCTCTGGATCCAAGCAATTGTTCTGTGAAAACATAATCCCTCACAGATATTATATTGATGGATCCAAGTCTAAAATTCTAAACCACAAATTATATAGCTATAACAATATAATAGTACCAGCTTTCTCAGAATTTACTATGTCTGTTTTCAGAATGGAGCACATTTCTGGGAACACTCCATATTATTGACATTTTATCCATCTGTTTCAATTTGTAAACAGGATATAAAATACCAAGCTGCCTGATGATCCTTTGTCTCTCAAATACCCCACAAAACCATTTCCTCACAAAACTACAAAATGTTAACCAGTTATTACTCCCAACGACTTCATGCCATGAAAAATGTGCAAATTGCAGATGGAGAAATAAAAAACACTACAGGAAAACCAAACTATTCAAAGCTATTGTACTATAACAATAGCAGCACTTCTCATGAAATATTCCACTTTCTGGCTTTCTAGCCTTAATCTCCTAAGGAAAGAAAAATGTTTTGGTTTTAAAGCTTGTTTTTTGTGGTTCATTGAACTTCAAGGCAAAATCCACATGGCATATAGAAACGAGGAAGCTTTAAAATTCCCAGTATAAACTCACCAAGAGATTGTAGTAACTATTAAGGGAGAATTTCAGAAGTGAGGAAGTGATAGAATTAAGACAACCTATGTCAGAGAATTGTAACAAGTAGAAACTCTTTACACAGATATTTTACTGTGTCTTGCTCTAAATACATTACTGTTTGTTCAGTTAATAATCTCAAGTGACCATGTGCTATTTGCTCATATTACTACCAAGATGCTGCAGCAGAAACAAAACCTACAGGAACCAATTACTTGTGTCCCAACAACCACAATCTGTACTGTTCTAAGGCATTTCCACCTAATAAGTACACCTAAAATTGATAACAATTGTTTGGCTTCCATAATGAACAGGAGAAATCAACTTACCATGAGATGTCCATGATTGACTTGTCAAACAGCTCATGGATGACAACTAAAGGTCGCTTCAGACACGTGAGCTTAAGAAAACGAGAAACAACACTCAGAAATGTAGAAGTTCCACACAACCACAGATAGTACCACATTCACATTCTCCCAGAGCCTCACAATATGCACCAAACAAGGTCTGCCCAGAAAACAGCTGCATGCCCGGTGCTGCATCTGAAGCACCAAGTCACCTGTTCCACTGCTGGGGCAGAAAATCCCTGCAGAAGAACAGTTGACATTCAATTCTCCTTTCTGAAACACAGACTGAATTTCTTAATCAACTTTACCTTCACACCACAGTCTTAAAAGACTCTCTGCCACCCCAAAAGCAATTCCACAGATGCAAAAGACAGCTTCTATTCTAAGCTGTACTGAGATAAGGATGCTGCAAACTGCCAGCACAAGAAGACAGAAAACAGATTAGGTTTCCATGTCCTCACTCAGACTACTTGTCTGAGAAAGTGAAACCTATCAAGAGCAAAGGGAATTTGACTCACAATAACTCTTAAAGAGGATTCCTATGCACTTAAGAATCAGCTTAGTAATAAAGGACTGAATATGAAAACTCCAATAACCTGCTCTAAATTAGACATTCTAAGCTCTTTAATGTCAAATCAATGGACTTATTATCTCTAAGTGTATAGTACAACTGAAATGAAGTAGAGGTTGATAAGGTCAAGGAAGTTTTATGCTCACAGGTTCACAGATGCAGTGTCACTGTCATCTTCAGTAGTTATTTATGCTTCCATAGGTCTGCACTCTATATATGTTTATTAAGCTCCTCAGGGCAAAGACAACCTATAACTGCATCTCTGTGCTACCTTCTGTAATTTCAACAGCCACTCCAAATGAAATCTTCATAATATAAATAGAAAGTAAAATATACCAAGTGATACTTTGATATGGGTACGCACTGGTAGCATTACCAGAAACAGATTTAGTTATGCATCTAGAGATTGATGGATAAATATCACACTGGAAGCTAAAAATAGTAGATTGCAGTTAGCAATTGGTGGGTTCTGGCACAAGTTCTCATCAGAAAGCTTTACAAATCAGTTAAATTGATTCCCTGCATTTTCCAGTTGCATTTAAAAATGTGAAAATAGCTACTCTTCTCCCAGCCAGAATAAAAATTTTAGTGTAGATTTTAAAGCAAAACCCAAACTAGATATCAAAAACTTGAAAGAATACTTAAAAAGCTCATTCACTTTCACATCCCTTTCCTTTACAAGAACAGAAGATAAGTAAAAGGATGAAAATAAGGTTGCATTTATTAACTGCAGTACAATGTTTTATCCATTAACAGCTTCTTCCCCTGACCAGGGCACACTCTGCCACTGGCTTCTAACTGCTCTTGCCTTTACAGAAATGAACTAACACAAATCCACCTCCTTACCACCCAGCTAAACCTGCAACAACAGAGACAAAAAAACCCTAAACATGACACTAAATATAAGACCTAATGCTGTACATGTGACCTTTGTGCTAAACCCCCAAGTTATCCAATGACCACGTTAGTTCAAAGGCAGCAAAGAAATCACTTACCCAGACAGACAGAGATCGATCTTTGCTACCAACAGCACAACAGCAGTAGGGACAACTTGACTTGGTGGAGCTCCCATTCTTTTGTTTCTTTTTGAAGATTTTTGGATTGAATTTCTGAACAAATGAGATGCCCAAATTTTATCACAGTAATTACATTTCAACAGAAGATCTGCTTTCTAAGCAAATTTTCCACTTAAGAGTGAAAAAACATTTCATAGAAATAAAGTCCTGAACCAGACTCTGTAAGAGCACTGACAAAAGCTGCAGAGGCTTTCTTAAGGGGTTTTCTGAATGCCTTCACAGAAAAGGCAAACAATATTAATTTTACTAGGGATCAGAAACCCACTGGAAACCTAAATCATTTTAATCAAGTCACTGAACAGCCAACAAAGCTGAAGTTTGACATTCCTAACATGCTCCTGTATTCCCCTTTGTCTCGTTCATCTACATCCAGTTGTCCTATCACAACAGCCACCTGATTGCTTCCAACATGTAAAGCTGACATTTTTTAATCACTACCATGCATTTGCTTTACTAATCTTGACACCCATCTTCACTTCTTGTCCCATTTATACCTAAAATTATCAAAAAGCAACGAGTTTTAACTTCAGGGATAAACTTCTACCACTCACTCACCACTACTGTAACTGCCTTCCGGTGCCCTACAAAATCCATGTTGGTTTTCCATCCATCCCTCTCAATGATCTGAGCAGTGGGTCCAGAATTATTCATGGCATGAGCAGAAACAAGATAGTGACCATCAGGTGACCAGCTAAGGCGCAGCACATGAGTTGTCCCTCCACACTGACAAAAAAAAACCAACATACCAGAGCTTTAAAAGTGTTTGGCAAACAAAGGGGTTGTAATATAAACTATTTAAATTTCAGATTTAGGGAATACAATTACAAAGTAAGTATCCTGAGAGTATAAAAGAGTGACCTCACATATAATTCTCAGCATTTGGCCATGTTTACACAGGTGATGTGGTATAACTTAAGAAACCCTATCAAAAGAGGGGGAAAGGAACTCGGAGAACTTTTCTAAAGGAAAGACAAATGTTACATCTTTTTGGATACTGTTTCCTCAGTATTTATCGCAGTCTTGGTTAGTAACAGGGCTGCAACACAGCAACCACTAATGATGAGACTTCAGGTTGCCACAGCAGCTCCCATGCGAGTGGAAGCAGACAAGGTCTACTACAAAGAGCAACTGCACTAATCACAATACCCTCAGATCACTGCAGAACACCAAGCAGCAGCTTCTGTCCCCAGGAACTTGATCTCTTCGTAAAAGTCACCATGTAAGAGCTCTATGATGCCAGGTCAAAGATCCCTCCAAGTACCTACCTCATTTCTGATAGTGGCCAACAGAAGATGCACAGGGAAGAATGTCAGACAATTGTGATCAGTGGGCAAACACTTCCCCAGAATAACCACTGTATTTTCAGAAGTTTACTTAATTGTTTACATAACCCATGTAAACTTTTGATATCCACAATAACAAATGACAATGACAGTCTCTAGTCAATCCTATTTTTATGAGAAAGTAATTCTTTTTTTGCCCTCTGTAGCTGTTATCTGAGAGTTTTATTTGATTCAGCACTGTTCAATTAATTCATGTTTGTGCAAAATCCGAGTTATTTTTATTTTGATTCATTCTTTTTGGATACTGGGAATTCACTTGGAACAATCACACATTGTGAAGTACCTCATCAAAGGGTTTTGTGATGCTGGTTTCCAGCTGCCAGTCCAGGGTCCGCCACACCTTCAAACTTCGATCATCAGCCTGAGAGGCAATGTATTTTCCAACAGGATCCCAGGTCAGCCCTTTCACCAAGCCAGAATGTCCCTTCAAAGTGGCAAGAATTTCTGTGCACACAAAAATTGAGAATAGAGAGTAGTTACTGCTAACTCCTTCCAGGCAGAGTGTTGAGAAAATTTACATATTTTTGAACAGCGTATTAAGTATAACCTCCTTTAGTGTAGAAACAACATATCAACCAAATTGGAGCCTGTACTTATTAAAAAAATGATATAAAAGAAGTGGTAAGAAGAGTTCTGGCCAGAGTAAGTGGTGCAAAACTCTTTAGAAGACAGGTCAGAGAGCAGAGTCCCCGTGCTTCAGAGTAGCACTTTGAAGCTGTGGAAAGCAGCACTTGAACTGGAATTTCAGTTAAACATTCACCCTTTCCTCCACACCCAAAGATTATCACAACTAATCCAGCTTTGTGCAGCAAGTGTGAACCAAGTCAAAGTTGTGACTCAACAGACACCCAAGGCTGGCAGACCTGGTAACCTACTTTCAGTCACACTCTTGCTTATCAGCCTATTGGGAGGAGAGGCTGAGAGGGTGCACAACTAGCTTCAAAGTCTAAAAACTCTGGTATCAGTATTAGAAGCCAGCTTGAAATAAATGGCATGTAAATAAACACAGGCAATCATGACTTTCATGTAAAATCAGCAGCACACCTGAATGCAGCTGTTGCCTGCAGCAGGGTGGAATCCCCTGCTCACTGCCATCCAAACCTGGAAGGACTGACCTGCCAGACTGCAGGTGTGTCACCCCAAAAGACAGACAACCAATCCCTCCTAGAGATCTGAAGAGTCAGAGAAATACACCGAGGAGGGAAGATTTAGTCACAAAGCTTTACATGCTGGCACCTCTTTAGAGCTCTCACCTGGGAATTTGACAGCGTTCCAGATGACAACAGTGTTATCAACACTACAGGATGCCAGCCAGGCATCGTGTGGAGACCATGCTACATCCATCACATCTGTTTGGGAAAAGGAAGTTTCCATTTAAGAGATTGATGGTAATCAGAAAATCAAAAAGTCTCTGTACAAAGAACTTGTGTTGTCTGTAGCAATATTTTGCTATCACTGAGAAAAGATTATGACCTCACTAAAATGGAAGGTAAGAAAGCAAAACTCACTGGGAGTGAATCTCCCCAACTTCCAATGTTCAGTAGGGGTCAAGAAAAAAAAAAGCAAAAGGGAAAGAATGCAATGTTTAGTGATTGTAGGAAGTATTAATGCCTGCATAAAGAACTTAGTCTTGTTTTGAATGAAGAAGTAACAGAAACTATTACAATGCACTCACTTTGCTCCATGTGGAGTGATCAAAGTGATTGCCATCTTGATTTTAATCACAGCTCATGTCAGCAGATGCAAAATGCATTTGAAATTATTTATTTATTCAAATTTTGCATTGCTTTTTAGAGATTTTTCTTCTAAATAAACACTGTTATTCTTTGGTTTACAAAAACATGGTCTTTTGCCAATCAGATTATTCACTGCTAGTGTGAACATTTAATTAAAGACACAATTTAGCTTCCTTTATTCAGATTCCCTTTTAAGTTAGAAAATAGCAAAATGTAAGTTTCTTAGTTGTTAATTTTTCTCCTGCATACCATACTTGCCAGAAGCTACTTGTATGAAAATTGCATTTCATTAAAATTTTTATATTTTAAATTTTCATTGTTGCTCTTGAAATTAATTACTGACTTGCCACCAAATATATATATTTCAAACAAGGAAATGTGATGCTGAAAAGCAATTTTTTTCCAAATACATGCAAATTATGTTCATGCAACACCTTGAAACTTACCCCCTGAATGGCTTCTGAGAATTGACACACACCTCCATTGCTCAACATTAGTAAGTTTGCTACTAGAACCAAACACAGTGCTAGGTCCAATGTACCTAAATAAAATAGAAACAGTTATAAGAAAAAAACACTTTTTAAAAAGAAAATCAGCTGCACAGTACACTTGTATTTTAGAGTCAGTTATTCCTACAATACAGAAGGGGAAAAAACCACATTTTTTTAGAGAGAGTAATTCCAGTTATTAAAAAATTAGCTTCAATAAAATGTAGAATTTCTATGGATAGCATAAAATGGTAACATTTAAGGTGACTCTTCAAATCTCACCAGGAAGTTGTCTTCAAGGAGAGAAGAAAATGTCTCAGCTCCTCCAGAGGAGAGAGACTGCCCAGGCAGACACCCTCCAGCCCAAAGGAAATCAGGTCACATCCCAACACCACTGTGGTGCCCCAGCTTTCAGCTCCTTCCACACCAGGTGGAGCACCGAGCTTAGCAAAGGGCAGGACAGGAAGGGAGCACCGAGGTGTCACAGAGAAACCTCCTTGAAATGAAATAGAGCTGCAGGAAGAAGGATGCTTACGCTGCTCGTTTCCACACCATAATCAGCTTGTCATCTCCCCCCGAGGCCAAGTAAACGCCATTGTTTGACCATCGCACACAGTTCACACAAGCTGGAAGGCACAAAAGAAAGTTTGCAAGATGAAATATGAGAATAAGTGGTTCTGGACTGCAGACAGGGTTTATATTACAAATAAGCAAAAGTTGTCAGGAGACATTTAGGATTTAAGTGGGTTTTCCCCACTCAAAGCAGCTACTCTGTCTGCTTTAGATAAATGAATTGGTACTTATCTTTCAGTAGCAGTGAGGAATTTCTTACTTAGAAAACTCTACTCCTTATCTAAAAAAGCTTCACCAAAAGAGGCTTGAAGGAAGGAAGATTAATATTCCTCTAATGAAGGAAACTTATTCTAGTAAATACAGTGGGATTAAGAGGGCAAAGAAGGAGAGGTATATTTTGAAGAAAAGAAAGGACAACTTGTCAAGTGACCCTACTAATTCCAAATGCAATGATATATAATGTAATAAATGTTATAATTTATAACTACAACCAAAATATTTCATATGATGTATCTTTTACACTTACTTCTTCTCCTGTCCTTTCCTTCAGAGCTCTACAGTTTCCCAGAATGTGCATAACCAAATACTTTATGGCCACAGCTGATAAAACCTTATAGGGAGGAGATTTCCAAAGGTATCTATAGTGTCCTGCACATTCCCTCACATTTTAACAGCATTTTCTGCTGAATATCTTGAAAAGTATACAGCCAAAGTATGAGACCACTGTGCTGTGTTTTATTGACTCTTCACCACTGGACAGGCACTATTTTTGCAAAGATTTTTATTTTTACACTATTTTTGCAATTGCGGACATGTAAGTCTTAAGCTTTGGCAAATTATCAATAGTCAGCAATGAAAAAACCCAACCAACCAACTTTGTTACCTAAGTGATTGTCCATCTGACAAAGCATCTTGGGGATATTTTCATTCTTTTCATCTTCCTCTTTCAGGACAGGAGCCATATTCCAGATCACAACTTTGCCAGAATCCTGACCTGTAAGAGACCAAAAAGCTCCCCCTTCTAAATACACCCAAAAAAGCTTTTCAAAATCAATCTCAGTTCCAGAACAGATGTGAAAATGTAGGCATTGCTGCAGTGGGGACTTTGGAAACATCTGAATACAGATGTCACTTTGATATAATTAGACCAAATCAGAAGTGCTTTATTTTTCTTGGAGCTATTTAAAATAAATTTATACAGCCTCATACAAAAGTCATACTGTACATAACTGGTACCAACTGTAAGGACAACTACTTGTAAAAAAATTGTATTTTAAAAGAGAAAATATACATATTCAAATACTAAATTGCAATTATTGTAGCCAACATAAAATTACTCACTATTGTGAACCAAATAATATTTTTGCATATATTTCTTAAGCTATTCTATTTATATAATTGGATTTTTCTGTTCCAATAGCTCTACTATTCAGCAACTGAAAAAGCTCAACAGCACATCCAGTTCCTCTCCAAATTAAAAGGAAATTTGGCCCATATGGCCACGACTCAATCACTGATAGCAGCCACTATCTCAATGACATCCAAGGGGATGAGGACATCAGAACATGCAACCCAGCCTTCTGCAGGAGCAGCAGTCCTTCCCAATACATTTTCATAGCTTACATAATTATCTGTTTCTTAGAGATAAAAGTGATGCCTTTTTAAAAGAGTGAAACCAATTCAAATGCTGTGAAGGCACAAGATTACTATTATTATTATTATTATTATTATTATTATTACTACGACTACTACTACTATGACTACTACTACTACAACTACCCAAAATTCTGCCTTCTACCAGTACACAGACTTACCTTGTCCTCCTGTTGCAAACTTGGTCCCATCTGGGTGAATGTCCACTGAAAATATTGGCTTTCCTGGAATTAGAGAACAGACAGCAACATAGTGAATTGTTTTACACTTAAGGGAATGCAGTAACACCAGAACCACCATAACTCTTCTGGTTGGCAAGTGACTTTCTTCTTCTAAAGGCTTGAGTTGTAAGAATTCCAGCTGACCACAGGAGCTGAGAGCAGCTTGCTGACAGAAATGGCAGCCTATTAAAAGCCTGTTTGGAAGTTATCATGCCACAAAAACCAGAGAAAACCAGGGACACTTAATCCAGCAGGATATGCCAAATACCTCAAAGCAAAGTAATACCACAAAGCAAGCGCCAACAAAGCAAAACTGTATTTGAGAATGGAATTTCTTCCAGGTTTCTACAGTTCATTAGCTGATGACCTGAAGCAAGTCTTCTTTTGGTTTCTGTTTTTTAAAAATCCTTCCCAATCTCAGGCTGCATCTGTTGGTCACACAATTACCTGTCTCAAATTTCAACTCTCTTAATGAAACTCTTCTACCCAAAGACCAGTTTTGATTTTATGGCTTCCATATAGAAAGAGGAGGACTAACCAACAATAGTATTACTCTTAAATCCTTCAATTCTCCAAATGCTACATCTTCCAGAAGAAAGCTAATAATTTTACTAGAATGTAAACTCTGTAACAGCATAGCTGGGGAACAGCTTTGGAAACCAGAAAGGCCTCACTTCCAACCTGCTCTGCTCCAACCATGGCTCATATTCACCCTCTGTATGTTCACATTTGTTTCAACCTTTGCAGAGGAAAAGGAAGAGGGGAGCAGCAGCTTCCTGCCTTCCAATGATGCTCAAAGAGCCACCACTAAGGGTTATGTGAAAGAACACACAGGCAATTTCCACGTCCAAAGAATTTCTGGCAGCACTTCCAACCCGTTCAAACTGGAAAGCCTCTGCAAGCAAGATCACAGACATGCCATTGCAAAATAAGGCAATTTATCAAACAGCCAAAAGTACCAGTACCCACACACCAAGATTACTTGATAAATTTCCCATGAGTGTCAATCTTGTGCTGTATCTTCATGAGCTGTTCAGACATAAATGATAAAACCTGGAGATCTTACCCAACAGCAACGGTAGCAACTGAAACCTTGACACTAAACTCCTAATAAAATCCAAATACCCACTATTTCTTACTTTTTGGGGGATACCTATTTGGCTTCATTTTGACTTTTGTGTCCTTTATGTTGACTTGTTTTAAGGTTTGTTTTATTTGGATTTATTATTTGGATACATTGCAACTCAGACATGTGACTTCCCTTAAAATTTTCACAGGCAGCCAAGCAAAGACCTTAAGCACAGAAAGATGGCACTCAACTTACATTCCTTCCAAGTCCTCCAGACCACATAGCACACATGAGCTGAGACACACATGAGCTGTGGTTTTTCTTTAGCTTGATTCTTGCTTTTATTCTATTAACTCAAATGCAGCATTCAGGGCTAAGATGAATACTTAGAGGAGCACAAACTAGAAGCAAACATTTATTTTACCTTTTCCAAAATGTGCAATTTCCTTTCTATTAAATCAGTGCATCATTTGAAATAGTTGAGCCCACCGAAAAGGCCACTCTGGAGACCTTAGCGGGGGAAGAGGTGACATTTTCAATTTGCATCAAATCTTGGGCAAGAAGAGCTCATCTACTCTGGTATTTGCCATTAGATGTATAGGGGAGAGTAGGAAACCAGCCATCAAAGACCTTTGAATTCTAATAACCTGGCTCATTTTGCCTCTGTATCATTAGCACCAAGAGAAAACTTTCCCAGCAAATCAGAACAGCAACCTAGGCACCTCCACCACTACTGTTCAGGCATATTCAGATATGCTACACATTCCAAAAAATTGCCATTGCACCCATTGCTTTGCAAAAATTACTGACATGATAGAATTTTCCTTTCCTTTTCTACATGTCTAAAACTACCACAGCCTCTCCAACTTCTGCCTTAAGAGCTCAACTCTACAGGAGCAGTAACATCAGCTCTCTCCCCTCTCTTGGGCAAAGATTTTTCACAGATCCACAAATGGGGTCGAAGAAACCCAGCAAATTACTTTGCTTAGAGAGCCAGAGGTAACTTAGCTACAAATTCTCCATAAATGCTTAAAATTAGCCACACCAGGGAAAATGTCCACCAAGCCCAGCACTCTGTGTTCAGAAGCCAGCATTGGATAAGTCCCTAAGGATCTGTGCAATGGTGAGCACACAATGCTTCTTCCTAAGATAATCTTCCAACTCCAAAGAAATTACAGTTCTGACTTCTTGAATCAGGGGCCCTCAATAGACTTTCTTCTATAAATCCAATGAGCCATTTCTGAAATTCATAATTCAACAACCCCTACACAGAGATCCACTGCTCAGCCATGCACTCTGTGAGGAACCTCCTACTCCATGGATCTGTACCAGTTATTTGTTCCTTTAACACAATTAATTCTTGTACAGAAGGGCAGTGAACAAAAATCACTCAACACTGATCCCTTTTCTGCCACTCACAACTGTGTTCATCAAGTCCCCAGCCCAATGACCCCACTCCTTGCCCAAAGAGTCCTGCTCTAGTCATCTGCTCCTTGTACAAAGGGTGTCACACTTCTGATCATTCTGGTCACTCCAAGCCACTTTCAGCTCTCCTCTATTTTATTACATGAATGAGAATTGACATTGACGACCACATGTTCAAACACAAACTATCCATGTATTTACATAGCAGGATAACATTTCATTTTTAGGTTTCTCCTAGCATAAATTTGAGGTTCAACCAAATAAACATGAAGTAGCTTTTCATAAATGGTTATAATCCTAAAAATACAGACCTCAGTGAAAGCTGTCAGTCACAGGGCATTATTTTATACATGAAGTTTAAAGAGGGTATGGACTTTGCACCCAGGAAAGGCAGCAGTAATAAATGGAGCCCTGGACAACAAAGTTTCCTACACAGATCAACTGTGATCCAGGAAGGGATCTTATTCCACAGGTAACTAATGATACACAATGATCTGCCCAGTACCTAAAGTTCAATTACCAATTTAAAAAAAATAAAATAAAAAAGTAAAGAACAGATGAAGTGGTCACAGGACAGAGAGCATTGCCAGGGTGCTCCTTTCCCCAGGGTAACACTGCCAAGAGAATGCCATCTACAGGGCTGGATAACTGTAACAGGTTAAAGCTGTAAGAATTGTTCCATACTCCTTGTGGTTTACAAATTGAGCACAGATACTGGGTTTTTCTTCCCTTCCTTCAATTTCTCAAAATAATGCAGAAGAAGCCATTATTTGATAGCAATCACCTTCTTCCCTGGGTCCATGTCTTTATCAGATTATGTTGTTAGTTCCTGCTGAAACAAGCCAAAAGGCACAAGGGCCCTGCTTCAAAGTGACTGAAGCTTTCCCATGCTCCTAATTGGAGATGTGCTGAGTTTCCCAACAGGAATGATGCACCAAAACAAAATGTGATATTTAAGCAGCAACACTAAAATCTAACACAGTGTGTTTTAAGACATTCTGACCTCTTGCAATAATTTCTAAAAAAAGATAAGCTTAAAATTATTGAAGCTCCCAATATCACATTGCAGGAGGAGGCAAATCAGGTTCATTAAAAACAGAACACCTTATGATATACCAGATGTCCTGTGGGCTTATTTGTTTAAAGAACCCAAATATGCATTATGTACTTAAAGAAATACTGATAATGAAACAAGCCTGGAACAAAAAGATCTAAGTAAGATAATTGAAACCCAAGGAGCAGGTCCCATAAAAAAAATACACCAGTGAAGAATAAAAGCAATTTTAAACATTGCATCATTTTTGTTTGTTGCTTAACTTTATACAATAATCAATTAAATATAAGAAGAGTCTTAGGTGAATTTCTACCTCAAAATGAATGAATTTCTATTCAATTTGCTTCCAGCCCATGTAATATAGAACATTCAACGTGACTCACAAATCAATTCAAATATTTACATTCCACCATTACAGCTTGGAGAGATAAACTCCATGCCTATATTTAAACAACAGCAGGCTCCAGTTTCCACAAGCTGTTATACATGAGCAGCACCTCGGGGCTTGCAAGGGTTTCTTGGAACAGCAAGGGACTTCCTTTCCCACAGGGATCAATGTTTGTGTGCCTGAGTTGTCTTTAAGCACCTGGGCTCTCAAACCCTGAGTGCTGAGTATGTTCAGGCAGCTGCTGGATGCATGATGCATCTCTACAGAGATACTGAATGCAACACTGGGAAAGAGAAGCCAATCCCAGCACTTGTACCTTACAGTCATCTGCCCTCACCCCCACCATTAGACTGCACTTCTGAATATTCCTCCTTGCTCTAAGTCAAAGACACATGGAAGAGAAGAACACAACAATAATGAGAATTTCATACAAAATCTAATAAATCTACATTAAGGGCGTGAAAAGCTTATGGAAAATGCATCTGAGCAAGAAATAATTCCAATAAGCACTCAGAAAAAGTGACATGAAGAACTCCAAGGCAAAAACCTGTAGAGCCAAAATGTGCTGAAGTGCTTTTACTGTAAGCATGCAGCATCTGGGCTGTGCAGCACACAATTCCCAGGTGTGCTGCATTTCCTGGCTACAACACTCACTTCTAGAGTCTATTATCTCCTGGAGAATGTATGCCTGGAAGCATCATTCTAGTCCATTCAGTAAAACAAAACTCCCAAAACTGAGTGGGAAGAGGCTGAACTACAGCAGCTGGAGCTGGAGTGTGGAAGAGGCAGCTCTGCTGTCAGGACTCACAAACAAGAACAGTGAGGCAGCCCCTGTGTCTGTGCAGAAATCAAAGGAACAGGAATCATCACAGAGTCTCCAGCACAGAGTGTGACTTCTGGAGAGGTTTCAGAGCCCAGAGGAAGGCCCAGGAGGGGTGATGGAGACTCCTGGCAGGCAGTGATGCCTGCAGGACCCGGAACCCGGGCTCGTCACAAGAGGCTGACTGAACTCACCGGTTTTTATCCTGCCCTCCCTGCCCCAAGGACAGAAATGCGTGACTGTCACACAGCCCTGCACACCTCTGCAGCCCTCAGAGCACCTCACAAATGGAGCTGGTGGCAAATGTCTGTTTTGTAGGTGGTGAAATGATGATGGAGTGCCTTGGCCAAACTCATCCCAAAAGGTCGGTGGCAGAAATGGGAGTAAAATTCAGGACCATCAAGGCCCTGTGTAGTGCATTATCCATCATCACAGGGCTCTGTAAATGAAGCCCTGCTTGGCTGAAGCCAGTGCTCTGCAATGGTTGGATGTTTTCTAAACTGCTACAGATTTCAAATACCCATAGCAAAAGCTGCACCCATTAAAAAGCTAAGGAAAGAAGTTACAGAGATGAAGATGTAAATGCCACATTTGTTTAGAGTAACCAAGCAGAAATGTAAAAAACATCTCAAATAAAGCACTTCCACATTTTTTTTCAGTTCTGTACAACCTTTGGTTACAAGGTTGAGTCCATCTGCTGCCTATAGAGTCCCTGGAGAGCAGGCCAAGTAAAGATGCACATGAATGACAACTCGAGGCTTAAACTGTTATCAACATTTGCAGCATGAACACAAAGCATGCAGAAAGGCAGCTGTAAAGTTCTACCTGGGGTTTTAACTCAAAGCACACTTTTCCAGCTTAAATAACCAGGTCTTAGTTTTACTCTAGATACCAATCAGCTACATGAGCCCACGTAATGACATTTATACACTGAGTATAAAATTTGCAGTTGAAATAATAGTTGCACCCATGAATCTGAGGGCAAAACTTGCATAAACAGAAGTGAGCTCTTTGTGTCAGGTTTCTTGTCACTGGAGGCTCATCCTAAGCAGTGTAAACATGACATAAACTCTGGTGCTGTCCTGCATTAGCCACACAAGGAAAGTACAAAGCCTTCTGTCAATATCAACACCTCACTCTGAGCTGTTTTAGCTCACATATCACTTCAACATCACCAGAGGACTGGCAGACAGGACACTACATAAATTCAGGGAGTTGTTTTGAAAGAACTGCTGGGAGAAACTTTTCCCTCCATGGAGAACGATAGCACAGCTCAGTGCATTGGAGGATTTTTAATGCTGTACTTGTGTCAGCAATGTGAGAGCCGGGCGGTCAGTGCAGGGCATGGATACCGACTCATCCTGCCGGGACACTCATCCCGAGGGGACTGCACGGGCTGTTCTCCATTCAAACTCTCCCCGCACTTCCACCAACACGGAGCGGCCCCGAATCAGCTCAGCGTTCCCTCAGAGCCCCGGAGCGGCGGTGCCGGGCTGTCCCCATCGCACACTCCGTGCCGGGCTGTCCCCAGCGCACACCGGGAGCCGTGCCGGGCGGGCCGGGTCCCCTCCAGCCCCCTCCCGGGGACCGAGCTGTCCCCACGCCGCCCTCGGGAACCTGCCCGGCTCCAGAGCCCGGGCTCCGCTCCCGCTCCCGTCCGCCGGCACGGACTTGTTGCTGCCGCTGCCCCCGCCTGCAGCGGCCGCTCCCGGGCCGGCGGAGCTCCGGCACCCGCGGCCGCCCCGGGAGCGCCGGCAGCGGCCCGAGGCTCCGCCCGCCCCGCGCCCCCCGCGTGTGCCGCCCGCCCGTTCCCCCGCCGCACCTGCCCGGCCGGCCCGCGGCACCTGCTGCCCCGCCGGCCCGCGGCACCTGCTGCCCGGCCGGCCCTCACCATTGTGGTTGACCCAGGTCGGCTTCAGCAGCTTCATTGTTCCCCGCCCGGGGCCCCCGCCGGCCTCCGCCCTCGGGACCCCAGGGCGGCTCCGCCCGGGCTGCCTCCGCGGCCGCGGCGCTCAGCGGCGGCCGGCCACCATGGGCCCGCGCCCGGCGCCGCAGTGCCCGCGCCCCCGGCCGGCCCGAGCCGCCTCAGCGCCGCTCCATGTCCCGGTGCCGCCGCCGCCCCGCCGCATCCCCCGCCCGGCGCCGCCGGCGATCCGGCACCGCCGGAACTCGGCGCCTGGCAACCGCCTAACCGGCCCGGCGGGAAACAGCGCCCCCGACCCCGCCGTTCCCCCGCCAGGCGCCGCCCGCCCTGCAGCGCGCGCGGGCGCCCCCTGCCGGGCGGAGCGGGGCGGAGCGGGGCGGGGCGGGGCGGGTGGGCCGGGCGCTCCGCCTAGGGCGCCCCTCGGAACGTTTGTGCTCCGGAACGGGGAACGCGGGCTCGGAGCGCGGCCGGCGGGGGCGCGGCGCACGCGGGGCCATGTGGGCGGTGGCGGCGGCGGCGCGGGGACTCCGCGGGGCCGGGCTCAGGTAGGGCTGGGACCGCGCTCCGGGACCGCGCTCCGGGACCTGCCCCTGCCCCGGGACCGCGGGGAGGGAGCCGGGGAAGCGGCCCTTAGCGGCAGGGCCTGCCCAGCCCATTCCTGGGGCTGGGCCCCCCCCCGCGCCTGGAGAAGTCGGTGCCTTGGTGCCTGGGCCGGTTCATCCTCCCGTGACAGCCGCAGAGATGCGACAGTCGGCATCGCCCTCCTGGTCTGAACGGCGATGGTCTGACCTCTCCCATACCAGCTCCTCTGAGGGGTCATTGTCAGGGCTTAAAACTGCTCTAACCTATGCAAAAACTGCATCTCTGTCACCCCTCGGTACCCTGGCGGGCTCACACCGACCTGTCCGTATGTGGGATCGGTTACCCAGCTCAAGAGTTTGAGGTCACCTCTAGGCAAACGCTGTGTCCTGCCATTTGAACCAAAGATGGTTCAAATCTTATCACTGTAAAATGTGAATAACAAGCAGCTCTTGTGCAGAATCAAGGACACCCGAGTCAGTTCCTCCTCATGCCTTATGTTGCTTTTCCTCCTGCAGCTCCTGGCTGCCCCAGAGCGTCCCGCTCCGAGGGAGTCACTGGCAGAGCTCATTGCTGGGGTTCAGGACATCCCTCCCTGTGAGGTGAGTGCAGCTTTCTTGGAGTCACACAGAAGTGTTCTCATCAACACAAATTTTCCCAAGTCCACATTTAACCTTTAACTGTACATATTTAAGTCTCTATATGCCAAAGCAGTTGGGAACTGTTGGCCTCTTGTGGAGAGTTCAGAGGTGATACAGTTACCACTTTGTGCTTGTAGGTAGCACAGCCACAGCTGGAAATGTTGGGATTTATGCAGTGCTCCAGAATTCCCTGCTGGGCAACACCAGGGAAAGCCTGGCTGAACCAGAAATGCTTGGCTGTGAAGGCAGAGGCAGCCCATGTGTCTTTCTGTGCCACATTTCAGTGCCTGTGTTTTGTTTTGATGCAGCTTGATTTAAAATACCCAGGTAACTCTTAGGAGAGGGACTGTTTCACACCATAAATGTTTGTTCAGTCTGCCAAGCAGGAATGAGAGTCAGTTTGTGTTTGTGGAGTGTGCAATGTCTTGGATCTGCATGGAGATGTAATATCTACAGCCTGAACTTGGCTCCAAATGCAGAAATTTCAGAAGCATGTATAAAACCACTTGAAGTCTTCTTTAATGTGAAATAAGAGGAATATTTGTTCAAGGCCAGGTGGGGCTTGGAGCAACCTGGTCTAGTGAAAGGTTTCCCTGCCCGTGGCAGGGGTTAGAACCACATGAGGTTTAAGGTCCTTTCTGGCATAAGCCATTTGTATGATAAACCTGCAATGCTGCACTCTGAGCCAGTTAAAACAACTCTAATTCAATTTTTTGTGGAACTTCCTCAGTTCATTCTGATGTTCAGCACAAAATTGCTTTCCCCAGGCAGTTACAGTTCTCTGCAGAAAATCTCAGCAGAAATGTCACTGGAAATTACATTACTTGAATAAAGCTAATGGCTGGAACTTGTGTCAGGGACAAAACAGTGGAAAAGAAAGTGAATGTTGCTGGTGTTGAATGAAAGGACAAAATCTCTTTTCATTTACTGTTTCCCTTGCAGAGCACAACCAAAGAAGAAAAAGAAAGTGGATGTGAAGAAAGAGCAAGCACAGAAGGAGCGTATGAAGAAAAAGCTTAAAAAGTTGGAAAAAGCTGCCCCAGAACTGATTCCAATTGAGGATTTTATAACCCCACTGAAGTACACAGAGAACAACAGGTCAGTGGGTCTGCCTTTCACCTGCACTCACAGTGAATTTCTCCTTCTGCACAACTGCAACACAGTGCCAGCCTTGGTACAAAACCTTACCCACCTCTATCAGGACAAAAATGTGCAAAGGAAATATTTGTTCTTGCTAAGAATAATGAAAAACAGTGCATTTCCTGTTAGAGTGACTGGAAGACCTCACAGACTGACTAAATTATTTGTGAATTCAGTGTATTCTCTGGGTTTGGTGAGGGTTTGTTGCCTGGTGGTGGGATTTTGGGATTTTTGGTTTTGGCATTTTGTTTTTCTTAGTCTGGTCTTTGGAGTCAAGCTATTTCTGTATTAGTGTTATCCTTCTCTTCATCAGGGTGCGAAGTCTTCCCGCTCTGTCTCCTGAAGAGTCTGAAAGAAGAGTTTTACTTCTGAAGAAGTGGTGTTTGTTTAAGCAGAAACAAGATGAGGCAGAAAAGAAAGCAATTCAAGCCCTGGTAGAATCTCAGCAGGAGGCTCTGAGGGAGCTGCAGCTGGAATCCGAGGAGCTGTACCAGGCAGCGATCCTGAGGGATGAGGGGCTCTTCCCCTTCGAGAGGGAGGGACCCAGTTACACCCCGCCCCTTCCTGGCTACGATCCCCCCGAGGGGAAGTGCGTGGACATCACCAAGGTGTACACACAGTGACAGGGGAGCTCCTGCTTCAGTGCCAGGAGGTGCTCAGTGACTGGAGGAAGAATGGAGTAATAAACAATTTTTCCTGCAGGTTACAACACTGCAGGATGTGACTGTAAAATAATAAATGAAGTATCTCTGTGTTTTAATGATGATCCACCTAGCAAAGCTACTCGACCTTACATAGTAATAAAACCAATTTATTTTCTCATATTGCATGTAACTGTTGTAACTAAGTTTCTGTGAGTTTGCCCCAATACAAACCAGATCTCTCTCTGCGTTCGTTTAAACCTTTATTTTTGAGTAGTTCTGAGTAGTCCCACAACACACAGCACCACTGGAGAGCAGTTCCAGGGTGTGCAGCCCACAGGTGAGAAGCTCTTCAACCACCACAACCCTGATTCTGGGAAATGTCCTTTAAATGCCAGTATTTGGGATTGTCCTGAGCCAGCAAGGAAGAGTGGAAGAGTCCTAGCTTGTTTTTTTCCCCCCCATTTGGCAGGCCTGCGGGGTGGGTGGGTACCTTGTTCCAGAAGTGCTCGGTGCCAGCTGGTAGGGCAAGAGGCCCTCAGAGCTAGAGCATGTATGCATTAATTTGAAAGGTGCCTGCTGAAATGAAATCCTGCTATGTAAATCAACAGTAAAAGACCACAACCAAATTAAGCACCTCAAATCTCATTTTAAAAATACCCAGTGTCTAAATAAAATTTCAGAAATTTTGAGTGAGTGCTAAAATATTGTAGGGCAGAGGTACAGCTGAATAACTTCAAGATGATGCAGAAGAAAAAAAAAAACCATAATTCTGAATTGTGTATTATGTTGCTGACCAAATGCAGAAAACAGTCTTAATTTGATTTGTCATGGTCAAGTGGTAGATACCAGTCAGATGGTGGGCTCTTCCTGAGCTTCCACACTGGAGCATATTTCTGTTTTTCCATAACTCGAGCTCTTTCACTCTTGCACAAAGATTCCTGAAATACAGGAAAAAAAAATATTTCAGTAATAGTGTTGCATGCTCCGGTCATACAGAGCTGATTTCCTGCCGTGAACATCTGAGATAACAGAATAAAAATTTATCATGCTTAAGCAGAAGTGCTAAATGTTATCTAAGTAAGCCAGAACACAAGTTTTGAACTAAATAATATTTATATTTTGCCTCTGGCTCCTAAGTTACAAAGGAAACTCGCCAGAAGCTGTCCTGGCTGGCGGGAGGGAGGAGCTGGGCTGGAGCCTGCGCTGCAGGGCTGGGGGTGTCCCGTGCCCGCGGGGCTGGAGCCGGGGGCATTCCCAGACACCCCAGCGATGCCTTTGCTCTGTAAGGTGGCTGATTTCCCTCTTAGGAAGGAAATGGCACAGTAACAAAAACCAAGAGCGTTTACAGCTGAAAACTGAAAATTCTCCCTGGGTCCTTCACTGGATTTTAAGACAACCCGACCCACCTCCGGCATTTCCAAACCCTCCCCAACCGCCGCGGCTGCGGGGCTTCAGTGCCAGCAGCCCCGGCCTAGAGAGCCCCGGGAGGCCGGGACCGGGACCAGGACCAGGAGCGGGGCCGGGGCCGGTACCTGCGCGGCGGGGGAGCGGTCCCTCTCCCAGGCTCGGCAGGCCTCGTAGTCCTCCCGCCAGCGGCCGCACTCCGGCAGCTCCCCGTGCGCGTAGTAGTGGTGGAAGGCGTGGCGCAGCCGGCGGCAATGCTTCCACTCCCCCCAGTAATCCTCGCACGAGCGCGGCGGCTGCGGACGGACATGGCCGGGCTGAACCGAGTCCCGCCGGGCTGAACCGAGTCCCGCCACCCGCCCGATCCCGGTGCTCCCCGGCCCCGCTCCCGCTCACCCTCCAGGAGCTGCCCGTGCCCTCCATGCTACCGCCTCCGCCAGTGGCCACCGCGCCTACGGCGGCACCCGCGGCCAATGGGGAGAAGCGGCATAGAACGGCCCCGGCCCGGCAGCCAATGGCATGGGGCGGCTCTGTCCCGGCAGCCAATGGCGAGGGGCGGCACAGAGCGGCCCCGGCCCGACAGCCAATGGCTGCGCGGCTCCCGCACGGGACCAGCGCAGGCCGCAAGCTCGGGCGCTGCCCGGGGAGGCGCTGGGGGTCGCCCCGCAGCCCCCGGCCCTCGGCCAGTCCGAAAATCCCCCGGTCCTCGGTCGGTCCCAAATCACCACACGGGCACGCAGCTGGGAACGAGGAACTTTACTCGGGCTCGCAGGAGAGCGCAGGGTTGCAACCCGGTACTCTCGCCGGCAGACGAGAGAGCGCACAGGACACGCTCGCACCATTCCAAAGCGGCACCGGGCAGTGCAGATGGGTCCCTCCTCTCCCTACATGTGCCAAGAGATTGCTACGCTACGTTATAGTATCTGAACTATTAAAAGGCATGTTATTAATTATAAATATAAAAAGCAGTTACAGGGGGTTTGCTTAGAATGATTAATAACCCAACACCTGAAGCTAAGCTCAAAGAGACTCCCTGCACTAAAATCCTAAACACCAAAGTCACCCTTCATTTGCACCACACCAAAAAGCTGATCTGAAATTGTGGCAAAATACATATAAAGGGAGGAAAATACCAAGCACAGAGCAACATGAGATCATCATCACTCAGGAGATGAAGGGAAGATGTAGTCTAAGAACCAGACCCTTAGTAGGGTAGAGCTTGTTAGCTTTGCTTCTTAGGTTTACCACAGATCTGCGTTCTCCTCTCTACAACACATACAAAAAGCTTCTTCCAAATTCCCAGAACTGACAGCTCCAGCTTTAAACATGAAGCCAAAACACCTATCAAGTGCTCCTGTGTTGCAAAATGATCTCTCAACGGCAATTATTAAGATCCAAGATGCTGCAACTGTTATTTTATTTTCCCCCTAACTAGCTGAAGGTACCACAGCTTAGGGCTTTCTTCCTTTCTTGCGCAGGGACTGCCCCTCTCCTGAAAAGGCAATAAAGCGGCTTCCAGACTCATCCTGGGAAAAGAAAGGGAAAAAAGGTTTTACCTCTTGGCTCACTGCTTGTGTGTGATGAAAGCTGAACAACTGTTAGCAAGAATACTCCATCAGAGCAGCCACTGACTGTAGACATTTCACATCCCTAATCTAGATAAAAATCACTTTCCTCCTGAAAATAAAGTAGCAGCATTTTGGTGACCTTTCAGCCAGCTGGCTGAATAAACTAACACCAGGCCAATCTCCTTCCATCAGTAACAAGGACATCAGAGGCTGCTTCATGTGACTCAAACCATTCTAAACAGCTACTTTTCAAAGGAAGCATGGTGTAAAAAAAACAAGGGGAAAGAGAGAAGGGCCACAAACTTGGATCTTAGTTCTAATGTTCTAATTCTGTGCAAAACTGGGGGGAGGATTCAACTTTATTTACCTCTTCCACCTTCTTAACCAGCGGACGTGAATTCCTAATGAACGTGATTCTACCGATCTTGAAGTCATAGTTGGGAATTCCTCTGCAAAAGAAGCACAAAAATATTATGTTTATAAACTGTTGAATCTGACACAGAGAGACCTCTTCTGTGTCTGTCAGTGTAATACCAACACTGACTGCACACTTTCATTTCTAAATAATTCCAGAGTTAAACCACTGAATTGTTTTCTGAAGAAGCAAATAATCAAATACTGGAGTTGTTGTGGATGGTTGGCCACAGGCATGTTTCCATTAGCCTGTGGCTAAGAAAGTCTATTTTCTAAGGCAAACTCATGACAAAATGAGTTTGTTTATATTGCAGGAGCAGAGAAAAAACCAAACTCTGCCCAAACACTGACCCTGCACTGGTTTACAAGTGAATGATGCAGACATACCTTCGGATGTCCCCTGGTTTAATTGGTGAGGGACTGGGCTCCACACCTTTCTTCTTGCCATCCAATCTGTTCCCAGATCCAGAGAATGCCTGTGGATACATAACCACTTTTAACTGAACTCCTGGCATTTGAAAGCCCACTGCACAAGGATGTTTTATCTGTAAAATGTTACAGCAATTTTGATTTAGTTTTTCAATTCAGCATGGTTCTTTTTGTTACATATAAGCTGATGAATCGTGGGTGTAGGGGTCTGTCTCAGTCTCCCATCTGCCCTTTGCAGAGAGCAAGTCATCCTGCTCCTGGCTGTGATCACACAGAACAGTCTCAGGCACTTGCCAGTTAAATAACAAGCATCTCTAAGAACAGGTACCAGTATTTTGCAGTTGTTCAGCAGAGCTTTCTCTCACCATTTTACAGCATTCAGAAACCAGCAGAAACAGGGCACTTACACGAAATCCTATATCGCTCACGTATCCACTGTGGTCTGTCTCCACATCCTGACAGAGAAAAAACAAATTCATTTTGTTTCTGCTCTGACATGCACATGACATGAAAACAGTTCCAAGTATTTCTGACCAAACAAAACTTCAGAACAATCACTCTCCCAAAACATCAGTTGGCAAACAGCAGTCCCCTAAATAACACATGCAAAAGCTTCTGGTAAGTAAAATTTCCCCCTAAGAACTTGTTTAAATAAAAATATGTATGTTGGTACTCCTCCCACAAACAATAGTGACTTCTAGGGAATGCATTTTGGAAGAACAAAAGTTTAACATACTGCAGACTCTTCATGTTGTGCACTTCTTTCTGGTTCTTTGTATCCCAAAGGAGCATCAAAATCCACCTATTTACACAAGAAGCATGAAAAAAACCTATGATTAATATTTTTCTTTAAATCATAAGCTTTATACTACTACTCTTCAAAACTCCATGAACAATTATCACTACATTTGATCTAAAAAGAACTAAGGTTTGGTTGTTAAAGATTTTAACTCAGAACTAAAAGAAGACCAAGCGTCCTAGGAATGAACCTTAGCATGTAATGGAAACAGAGCAGTAAAACAGCTCCACGTTATCACTGAAATATGAGTCAAGACAAGGCTATTAAATAAAACTCAGATGAAACATGCCAAAGCTAAACATTAAATTCTGGGCTCTGCAGTCACCTGATGTACATGAAGTGCCAATCAGGATCACAGATGGGGTTACAAAGGCACCTGAGCACTCCCAAGTGAGTCATTGTCCCTACCCCAGGGACTGCACCTTTCTTGCAGCACCAGCTGGGCTGGGTGTGCAGAGCTATCACTGCTCAGGTGCCCTCTCCTCTTGGGGGGAACACAGCTAGGGCAGATTTTCCCCATCAGCTTTGACTTACGTTCATGTCACACTCTATGATGGACACAGCCTTATCTGGTTTGGTCTCCATCACCCGAAGCTCATAGATCTGAAACAGACAGAGGCATTTGAAGATTGCATTGTGTGTAAGGAAAGCACATTTAAACCTTTCCCTCCAGACCTGAAGGAAGTGTTCTTTAGGTGGAGAACTAGATACTGCAGGGTCTCTAGAGAATTTAAAAGCAAAAGTTTTTAACTTAGAAGTCTCTCTGGCTTCTGTACACATTACTGAACCTTGCTGCACTCTTACTGTACTTTAATCTGCATTTTTGAAAACAAATTCTGAATTTAGGATAAATTCTTTCCTTTGACTTGTAAAACTTTCAACAGCACAAACATTTTTTTTCTTATGGGTCCAAAGAAACTTAAACAGCAGCTCATAAAAATACTTAGCTGACTCCATTTTCCCTTCAATAGAAAGCCAACTGTGAAATCTGCCATGTGGGATTACTTGTCCAAACACTGCACAGCTCTGGGTCGATTGTTTTAGTACCAACATCCAACAACTGAACTTAGTCTCCAGCCCTCAACCCTACACTGTACCTTTTCATTGTAGTTGATGGCAATCACATCCCCAGTAGTCAGACAGGCAAAGTTCCTCAATGCATTTTCCAGTCTTTGGAGTATGTTAAGATGAAATATTTGTTTTCAGTGAAACATCAAAGCCTTAAAGTCACCATACTGTACATCTCTAATCCTTAGTTTCTCAAACACGGTTTAAAAGTCAGCAGTACTGCAGACAGGATTTCAGGAAATGTTAGGATGTGTAAGTTCTTCAAAGGGACACTCAAAACTCATTGGATTTTAAGCCAACACTCCTTCTTCAGAGCACACTTTGTACCAGCAGTTGACCACATCTCTGTACATCAGCTCCCCATCCCTTTTGTTTGCAGAAGGAGCAGCAGTGGCCATGGACTACAGGCAGTGTATGAGCCACACATGAAAACTTGCTCTGTTTGATCATTCCAATTTGGAAGACATTTTTTCCCCTTATTCCATAATTGAATAGGAAGGATACACAGCTTTGGGATTGGTGATGTCAAGAAAATCTGGACTTTGTGGCTGGAATTTTGAGTAAGTAGCAACTTGCAGATTCACACTCTCCACTTGCACCAGGCCTCCTTCTTCCAGCAGCAAATTCTGCATCATCTGCAAGAATGGAAACAAACACACAAAGCCCCATCAATGTGTCTGGTGTTTTCAAATATTTCTCCTGTACATATCAGCTCTGGTGTATATTCAATTTCAGGAAGAACAGTCAGGTGCACATTAAAAGCAGTCTGCTTTGCTAAGTTAAACTTCTGCAGGAGGCAGCCTGAGCCAGAACTGAAGGCTGTTGTAGAACATGACCAGCAGACAGGCACAGGAAACATTCCACCTCCTTAATATTAACTTGGCAACTTGCTATTCCTACTTTTCAGGTTCTGACAGTCCAGCACAAGGCAGCTCACCCAGTGTGGAAGATAACAGATGCCCTCATCAGCTACAAACTCCAGCACCCCACAGTGAGTCATTCTGTCTGAGTTCTTGTTGGTCAGCTTGAACAGCATGGGGTAAGTAATATTAAGGCGGCCTAGTGAGAAAGGAGAGAAAAGTTTTCTTTGTTAAAAGCCCCTAGCACATTTCTGAAGCTTTCAGAGATCAAACATCACCAAGAGAATGGGCCAGACCAAAGGGAGGATTCCCCTCACCCCATTATCCCAACTGCTCAAAACTACAGAGAAAGCAAACACACAGATCCAGTGTGGCACTGCACTCAGAACTTTAAATGCTCAGGGAGCCCAACACTTCAGATGGCTGTACCTAAAGGTAAACAAGCCCCATGAATTCTGACAGAGAAAATACCTTTAAAATACATTTTTAAAACTGATTATTCTCAGAGTGTCTATTTAAGACTTAAATAGATAACTAAAATACACATTTGTTCCTATTTTTAATGTTGTTATTCCAGAATAAAGTATTCACTTACTGAGTTGATCCAAAGCTGATGGTGGCATAATTACTGCAGAAATGAATAAGAATGTAAAATCAGGAAAAGTACATCCATACAAGAGTACATAACACACAATTTTATCCTTCCTTTCTCTAAAATCTCTTTTTAAAAAAGGGCAGATCCTAAAATATAAAAATTCAGTTTTAGACAGTTCAGTAGAAGCAGTCATGACAAATATCTTGCTATGTGGAGATTATTATAATCAGGGAAAAATAAAAGAGAAGAAAAGGTTTTACAATGCTTTTACTAAAGAAAATTTTTCCCAAAGCTAATTTTATTTGTTAGGGCTCACAGGTGCTCTTCAATCAATACCAACTCAAAACAACATAGCATCATTCTGACAGCCTGAAAATTAAGTTGGCCAATCTTTTACTTTCTTTATACAAATTAAATGAAGTGCAACACGGCGGGGAGAAGAAACTCCTTAATCACAAACTTCCGTGGCTCACACTAGATATAAGATTGTAACAAGAAACTTTATGGAAGAAGTCTCTCTCCTTCTAATACTCATAAACCCCGACTCACTTGGTAAACACTTTTAATTACCGAGCAATGCAAGGGAACATGACCCCTCCTCCTTCCTCAGAGCCCGACCCAGGCTGCTCTGTCACCGTGTTTTCAATATTCCCGGTGCCTCGGCCAAAAGCTACGATACTCGACACTATTCACAAACACTCTGCCAACAGTTTATTAGTCAAAATAAAACATGCACATACTCTTCCCGCCTTTCTCCACATCTGACCTGTCATTAGGTCCGGCAAGCATGGATACCGAGAAGCAGCGGTACTGGGTTGAAAAACGGTTCTGGAACACCCGGGGGATGGGGTGGTCAAACATATTAAAGGAGAACTAGAGAGGAAAAACAACACAGAGAAGAACGCGACCATCAGTATCTACAGCACACCGAGTGCCACCGCACCCACTGAGGGCTCCTGAAGTGACCCGGCCCCTCCCCGGCGGCCCCCCGCTCTCACCATGGCTGCGGCGGCGGCGGGCGCTCGCTCGGGGCGGCCGGGCCGGGCCGGGCCGGGCCGGGCCAGCGCCGCTCCTTCGCCTCACGGGCTGGGCCGGGCCCCACCCACGGCCCCGCCCCTCCCAGCGTGCCGCGCGCGCCGCCCGCCCGCCCGGACATTGCGGGTGAGGGCGGAAGCCCGGCCCTCGCGCCCTCCGAGGCGGCCATCGCCGGGAGTCCCTTCTGCCCGCTCGGCTTCTCTTCGGTCACCGGGTGCTGACGCGACCCTGCCGCCTCTTCTTTGACCTCCGTTTATTGGCAAAACATGCAACTGGCCCTTAGTAAAGATGGCGGACGCGGCGACAATACCCAGCAGGGTGCTTCCGGCCGGAGCCCTCTCGGGATTGGCCAGCAGCGCGCATCGTCACCGCCTTCTCCGCATCCCATTGGCGAAGCCCCGGAAAGGATTGGGCAGATCGCCCTGCAGAGGCGGGGTGAGCGTGTTCCTATTGGCCAGCGCCTCATGAAACGCGGACCAATGAGACGCGGCGCTGCTTTGGCGCCCAGTTTGAGCGGGCGCGGCCTGCGGCTGCCGCCCGTTCCCGCCGCGCGCGCCCGTTCCCGCCATGTTCGTGTCCGACTGCCGCCGGGAGTTCTACGATGTAATCGTCACCCAGGTGCGGGCAGCGCGCCGTGACCGGCCGGGGCGGCCCCCGAGCAGCCTCCCCCGGGGCTCTCCCCGCTCTGGGCTGCCGCGGTACCCGCCGCCTCACGGCGTAGGGTCGGTGTGGGGCATCCCCGGTCGGCCCGCGGCGGCTGAGGCGAACCGGCCGAGGCCAACCGGCTGAAGGGCTGCGGTGCTCTGGGGCAGTGCCGGCCCCGCTCCGGGGGCTGCGGGGCGGGGGTCGGCGGCGGGGAGCGCCGGCCGGGCGGCCGCGCTGAGGGCGGGGGTCCGGCGGTCACCCGGGTGGTCAAAAATTCCTTTCCCGGGTGTTTTCCCCTTCCCTACCGTTGGGAACCGGGAAAAAGCAGCGTCAGCGCCGTGAGGTCTCGCCAGGGATTTCATTTACGGTTCGCCTCCTTCCGCATAAGTGTTTTTGTGTGTTCTGGATCTCATGCTTAACAATGGCATCTCTGAACTTTAGTTTAGTTTAGTTTAATATCTTTCTAACAGTTTTGGTGTTATTTGCCCAGACACTAAATACTGTTTTCTGCGATCTTTGGTGGTTTTCCTGCAATCTTGTAGCACATCTGTTTCCCACTTGTATTTTGAACCCAGTGTTTGCTTAACTCCGTTCCGTGTGGTAAGGTGGTGAAGCTTTTGTTGGACAGTCTTTGGGCATTTCTGCCAATGAAATGATATTATGGACTGTGCAAATGAAAGCATTTATCATAATATCTCCAGCTGTGAGCAAAATCTCAAAACACCCTTCCCCTAAAACAGCACTCACAAAACAAACAAAAACCGAACCAACCAACCTCTCCCTGTCCCCTCCCCACCAAAAAATACCAGCCAGCTTTGAATTATGTGCAGGAATTTATTTCTTGAGTTGCCTTGCTCTTGCTTTTGCTACAGTTTTTTTTTTTGTTAAAACTGGAGATCTGTACTGAAAACAAAAGCTATTCTAAACACAACGAAAATAATTGTAGGGCTTGACTCGGTGTGAAACTTCAAAAGTATGTGAGGTTCAGAGGAGTCTGTGTAATTACACAGGAGCTGAAACATTTTGGGTATGTGGAGTTCCTTGTTTTTAATATCGACAGATATCCAAACTGGTTAATTTTGGTTGCAGTGTCCATTCAGAAGCAATTGTTTTATGCTTATGATGATCTCTATGTGATGTCAGTGTTCTGTGCATTTCATGTACCAGCATGCTTTTTTTGGCACCTCTATTAATGCTATTATTTTGTTGTTTTTACAGCGTGTTCTTCTTCTTGTTGCTTCAGATGTTGATGCATTATGTGCTTGTAAAATACTCCAAGTAAGTCTGGGTTCATTGTCACTGCAGGCTGACAGCATGAGAAAATATGGATGCCCTGGGATGCTCTACATGGGTGTGAGCAGGGGAGAGGGGGAAGCTTTAATCTGCTTTTGTAGCCTTTGCTTCCATGAGTTATGGCACTGCAAACTGGTGATTGACAGTCTCAGAGCTCACATAGATTTGTCATTTGGGATGAGATGTTTTTATTTTAAGGGTGTGTGTGGAACAGAGTCACAGCCTGGTGTAGCATTGCAGAGAGGCTGTTTCCCCTCCCCTCTGCTCACAGCTGTTCCTTCCTTGCAGGCTTTGTTTCAGTGTGACCATGTGCAATACACACTCGTGCCAGTGGCTGGGTGGCAAGAGCTTGAAACTGCCTTTCTGGAGCATAAAGATCAGGTGAAAAATACTAGAAAATTTTTGAGCTGTAGCTCATCGTTCGTTAAGATAAACTGCTTCCCTTCCCCAGTTTAAAATATCAACACTTAAGCTCATTATTATTATTGGTTTCCTAAAACTGGGGTTACAACTTAACCCACCAGTAATAAACTTGTCAAGTTTTTAACAACACCTCCAAAAAATGTGCTATAATGTTGATAGAGTCAAATGAAGTTTGCACAAATTATTAGATATAAAGGTGCTGGTATTGAATGTCCAACATCCCTGAATTTTGGGATTTTTGAATTTTGTGTGCTTTGCCTTAAAAAAAAAAAATTCTGCCTCAGAGACATCAAATATCAGAAAGTAAACACAAGTTTTGGCAATGATGAGTGTTCTGTAGGTTTTGTAAATGTATTTTCAGTTTTCTATGTCTCCTGGCAATTTAAGTAACAAGCTTCTTCTGTTTTTTCTGCTTTTGATTGCAGTTCAAATACTTTGTTCTTATTAATTGTGGTGCCAATGTAGACCTCCTGGAAATCTTGCAGCCTGAAGAAGACACTTATTTTTTTGTATGTGACAGTCACAGACCCATCAATGTAGTGAATGTTTACAATGACACACAGGTAAAACTTTCCTTTCATAAAAACCTCCCCAGAGTGTGGTGGTGAGCAGTGTAGTGCTTTTCTGTGTTTGCAAAACTGGTTAGAACATTAGCTTGTAGGTCAGAAAGCAGCATTAATAAATAAATATTTGCAGTAGTAATGTACATGACCAGAAAAAATCCTTTTTCCAGCAGTGAAATCTCTAATGTCAGCAATGTGGTAGTTGTCAGTAGTAAGCACCTGTTAATCTTTTTGCTGTAAATCAAACTGCCATAAATCAGAGGATAAACATCCCTTCAGAATCTGACATGTATTATTTCTCAACATCTAGCAGCACCTAGAATTTAAAGTATCAAGAACTAATTATTTTATTTTAAAAAGCATTAAAAGGATAATATTTTCAATAATGCTCTAACAAAGGAACATGAATTTTTACTCTTATTTTCAATAAATCAGTGTGGTCTTTGTGTTAAAAACCAATGTTTTGTTATGCCAGGAGCTAATACAGCCTAAATTAATTTTTAGTTTCTAAGTAGGAGTGCATTTTGCTCACTAAATAAGATACTTTAAAGTACAGCTTTCTCCTTGCTAGATTAAGCTGTTGGTCAAGCAAGAGGATGATCTCGATGTTCCTGCTTACGATGACATCTTCAGAGATGAGGAGGAGGAGGAGGAGGAGGAAGAGGACTCAGAGAATGAAAGTGGTGGCTCAGAGCCCCTGGAGAAGCGCAGACGATTTGAGGAGGTTTGTTCACTGCTCTGTTCTGAAAGGAAGAAAAAAACCTCTGCTATTACATATATTTTACATCATAATTATATTTGAGTTTAAAAGTTGTGATCCATTAGGTCACAAATCCAAGTGCAAGATTTAAAAATAATCTACAACAACATGTAGTTTCACATTAGCAAAATATTTATTTATCTGAACTACACAGAAATATTTTCTCTAAATTTAAAAAAACCTGTTTGAACTTACTTATGCATAATTCTTTGTATAATCAGTGAACTGGAGAGATCCATCTCCTAACATGTGCTGTGGGCTTGGCAGTCTAGCATTAGAATTTGTTTAGATATCAACTCCTTTTACAAAACACCTGTTTGAGAAGATACAAACTCACAAATAGTTTAGCAATGCATTTTATCTGTGCTTGTAGCAGTAAACTCACAAAAGTTTGTGAAATGTGCACATGAAATTTAATTTGCCATGTTACTTGTAGCATATTTTCTATTTATATTACAAAAGCAAAAAAAGGCATGAGACCAGCAACATTAAGGGACAACTAAATATGAAGACAACCTTAGATTTAATAAATATTTCATGTTATCTTTGTTATCTTCCAATTAGCATTGTGCTTTTTTTTCCTAGTAATTTGAAAAGGCACTACCTTAGCCAAAGGAGCTATCCCATTCAAAAGAAAATTACAGATACACAAAAGCTTTTCTCAGATCTGTTAAATATTTCACAAAAATCTTGTGTGCTCCTTGGCAATATTTTTGGTAATGCTTTTCTCATTACATTACATATTATTAATGACAATTTTTTTAAAGGAGAAAAAATATTTTTAATGAAAATTTTAATTACATTTTTAAAATTAAAGTTTAATAATTGAGGTATCTAGATGCTAATCTATTAGAATATTTTTTCCTAGCTTTTTAACATCCTGGAAATTTATTTATAGGAGGTGATAGAGAGGACAATGAAAAGGAGACAAAGGAGAGAATGGGAAGCACGCAGGTGTGTAAATGGGTTTTTCTTATGTTGCTTCTTTTTCTTTCATTTTTAATAAAAATCGTGTTAAGAATACAAACACAAGATAACAAACTGTGATTTGCAAGATGCTTTGGTTATAATTTTGTTTAGAAAGTTGAGAGAGATATTTAGTATATAAAGATAAAGTCTTTAAATGGAGGAAATTGTAAATAGTAATTTAAAATTTGAGTACCAGTAGGTGCATTGGCTCACTTCAAACAGCTGTAATATTCTTATCTTGTCTGTCCTGGGGTGAAATTTGTCCTTCTGTTTTCTACTTTTACAATCCCACTGTAGTCAATAGGAATGAGCAGGAACAAATCAGATAAAATGGGATTTGAGGAATAGTGATGTAATTATTTTTCTTTTTTGCTTTATGAGTACATTTCTGTGTGGTTTCCACACTGTTACTAAAGTCTAATTGCCTTACAGATAAACAATTTCTAACCCAAGTGTAATATTTTTAGTTGCTTAAATGAAATAATGAAATTTAAATATTCATCCCTATTTCTGTTTTTTTTTTTTTTTAATTAATTTTCTGCAATGACCACTTCTCCACTCAGTCAAATCTGGCTTTTTTTCTCCATTTTAGACGAGAAATTCTTTTTGATTATGAGCAATATGAATACCATGGAACCTCAGTAAGTATAAACTCTGTTTGCCATAAAACTTTAAGGTGACAGTGTAAAAGTAATTGGGCAATATCCAATGTTATAATTATCTATTACAATTATATAATTGCCTAATAATACTATTCAATATAATAATATTATTGTACCTTGCATTTTTATATATTAGTGTTGTGTATATATGTAATGCAGTTTATATATTTTTATATATATATATATGTAGTTGAACTTAGTCTAATGTTTTATGGTTTCTTTTAAATCTTAGCAAGGGTATCTATTTACAAATTACTGTCACAAAAAGGCTTGAGCATGTAGGCAGGTTGTTTTTTTGTCTTTCAGAGTGTCAGGATATCCCAAACACAGCACTTAGGGTATCAAACTTTCTGTCATTTCACCTCTCTGATTATTTATATTTAATTGTTTGCTTTCTATATAATGCAGATTTACAGAGCTCTCTAGAATATTTTTCTTTCTACTTCATATCTTGGGAAGGAGCTGGCAGATTTTCAGACTGCAGGGTGATTTCTTGGGCTTTAGGAACGTGCTAGGACTTGGCAGATTGAGCTGTTCTGTTTGTTTACTGAACTGTGTCTTGTGTTCATTTGTCTTTTTGCTTCTCCCTCTTGCAGTCTGCAATGGTGATGTTTGATCTGGCATGGATCATGTCTAAGGATTTGAATGACATGTTGTGGTAGGTTTCCATCATCATTTTCTGTAGAGATTGGAAGCTTAAGCCTGCCACAAAGGCAGGCATGGTTTCCCAAAATTATTTTGTTTTTCTCTGAGATTCCAGTTTCTTTTGGGGGTGAATACTTGTCTTCAACTAGAGGATGCATCTGTGTACATTAATTAAAAGCAACAACAGATTTTGCATGGAAAAAAGGAGATTGGTACTATATGTGTATGTCTGCAAAAGAGGGAATAATAAAGTAGATAACTTTGTTATTAACTTCTCTGTACTGCTGGTAAACAATGCTTCTGATTTGTTCCATTACATAGTTAGAGGGTTAAATATAATATACTCTACTGGAATATTTGTATGTTTAACCTTTTTTTCTATTTCTTTTTTTCCAAAAAATTTAGGTGGGCTATTGTTGGCCTAACAGATCAGTGGGTCCAAGATAAAATCACTCAGTAAGAAAGTTTTTTTTTTTTTTAAGTTTATTCTTTTATTATTAATATTTCATATTTATTTGTCTGTCTTACAAAATTTTATTTTTGGGAGTAACTAGCAGCAATTAGTAGAGATCAGGAAACATAAGGGTATTATTATAACAGATATAAGTAATTAACAGTGATATTAAATATATAAATGCCTGAATGTGATCTGTTGCCTTCCAAAGATAGGAAGATATATATTTAAAAAATAATTTTCTATAATTTAGAATTTTTAAGTTAACTTTGTTTTTCACAAAATTATAAACCAATCACTTCTAATCTGGGAGGAAATTGTGTTTAATGGTAGTTTACCTGAGCATGAACTTGATACAGCTTTATTAAAGGTAGAAAATTTTGTGTGTGTTTTGTATCCTCAAGGTTCTTTTATGGTTTTAGATAACAAGTTTAAGATATTTTTTCCTCTTTTTTTATTTCCTACTAGATATGATCAGAATTCTAGTATTACATGTGCAGACTCAAATTCTCCTGTTATATTTTTACTAATACATGAACATTTTCAAATAGATAAGTGTAACAGTATATTACACTTTGTGTAATTTTGTAATATACTATTACACTTATCTTGTAATATGCTACACAATATTTCTGATTTCTTTGGTCTCTCTATTGTTTGGTTTATAGTGTTATTTTGTTTTGGGTATTTTGTGGGGGTTTTTTTTTTTTTTTGGTTGTGGCATTTTGGTGGGTTTTGGTTTTGTTTGGTTGGGAGTTTTGGTTTTTTAATTTTAATTGTCTGGGTAAAAATATGAATATTGAAAAATTAATCAATTATTCAATAATTGATGAATTATTGAAATTATGTTTCAATAATTTCAATAATTATTTAACGAGTCGGGAGGGTTTAAATATGTATCTACAGTCTTCATGCAGCAGACTTTAGGAAGCATTTTTATTTTCTTGTAATCAAAAAGAAAACTTCCCAGGCAGCAGGTGAAGTGGCAGACTGTTTGTGTTGCAGGATGAAGTACGTGACTGACATCGGGGTCCTGCAGCGCCACGTGTCGCGCCACAACCACCGCAACGAGGACGAGGAGAATTCCCTGTCCATTGACTGCATGAGAATTGCATTTGAGTATGAGTATCCTTAAAGAAGGTCTGGGCTGAGCTCCTCTGGAGTTTTTGTCTAGGGAAAAAAAATGCCAGCATTATTTCTGCTTAGAGTGGAAATAAAATAAAGGGAAATGTTTTATAGTGGATGAATCTCTGTTCCAGCTGCTCGTGGGGCTTCAATTCAGTTTCACCTTTCAGAACTGCTTACAAGTCACCATTGCTACTCTTGGGTTACATCACCTGAGCTTCTCACTGCATTTTATGCAATATGTAAGGGCAGCTGAATCTTTTCCTGCTCGTGGAGTTTGTAGGGTCAGAGGACATTGGTGTTTGCAGTTATTTGCCTTAACTCCTGCTCAGCCTGCGCCTGGCACTGTACCAGCACTGGTCTCTCTATGAAAGTCTCTGCAACACCTGCTACACCTCTGCCAGCCTCAAGCTTTGGTCTGTGCAAGGGCAGAAGAGGCTCCAGGAGTTTTTGGCTGACATGGGGTGAGTTATAAAAATATGGATTTTTTTTTTTTAATGACTTACAGGAAAATATTCAGAATATAGCTGGCAAGTACTCAAGCTGTCAGCTTTTAAATATGATTGTGGGGCTCTGAATAGGTGGCAGTGTCTGTCTCTGAGTTACACAACTTGTGTATTGGTTTACAAGGAACATTTGCTCTATGCTTTTATGGAATGGCAGCTCAGTAAAGTAACCTCTGCTTCCTTGTATTCACTTTTCAGTGACTGAAAAAACAAACGCATGCGAGTTTAGTCAGACTTAACCATGGTAAATGATCTAACAATTTTAAAAGTCTTATGAGAAAAAGGCAAAATACTTGTTTATCCTGGCATACCTGTCAATGAATTTTTTTCCTCCTGTTCTTAGTTTGCCCTTGAAACAAGTGAAACAGAAGTTTAATTCCATGGACATGTCTTTGAAAGAAAATCTTCGGGAGATGATTGAAGAATCTGCAAACAAATTTGGGTAAATTGTTTTAAATACAAATGTTTTATCTGAAAATACTTTTCAATTAAGTTCAAATATTTTTGTATGAAGATGATCTAATATGTTGTTTTTAAAAATATGATTCTTAGATTGACAAAGTAACACTGGATTTGTTGCAAATGTTAGTATAAAGTTTTTCATCATATACTTAAGATTAACAAACTGGGAAGACAGCTGGTCACTGTTGATAATGTTAATGAACTTTTCTGGTTTATTTCATTTTGCAGAATGAAAGATTTGCGAGTTCAGACTTTCAGCATTCACTTTGGCTTTAAGAACAAGTTCTCAGCAAGTGACATAGTTTATGCAACAACTTCTCTCATGGAGAACATAGAGAAAGAGGGGCCTGAAACAACTAATTTCATTAAGGCTTTGGACAGTCTCTCCAGGTACTGAAAAAATGCCTCTTCAGTATTTTGCAATTTTATTTAGGGAAATGTATTGGGATTATGGATCTAAAGTATGAATTTTTGCTTCATAAGCTATTGAAGAAAAATATCAAAATATCCCTGTGAATAGTATTTTGATATAATTTTTATGTCAAAAACTTTTTTGTACCAAGGAAGTGTCTATTTTTATTCTTTTTGTTGCAGGGGTAACCTGGACAAGCTGCACCAAGGACTGGACCTGGCCAAAAAGCAGCTACGTGCCATTCAGCAGACAGTGGCCAGCTGTATTTGCACCAACCTTGTCATTTCCCAGGGGCCATTTCTTTATTGCTCCCTCATGGAGGTCAGAATTGTGTGTTTGGCCTCTCATTTGAGACTCCTTTTTGGCTGTATCATCCTTGAATAACGGTTGCCCTAAGTGCTTGGCCCAGCAAGAATTACTCTGTAAGAAAGAACCAATATCTCTGTACAGTGCTGTCCTCTGATGGGTCAATATTGACATTGCTCTGAACTCCCAAAGGCAGAATCACCCCTCATAAAGGGGAGAGGGCTTTGCTGCAAAGCTGGGTGAGCTCAACCTGTATTGAAATGGTTCTTGTTAGTGTTCTTTGAGCCACACACAGCTTCTAGACTTGTTAGTAGACAATAAAACTAAGTAAGAGTAAGAATCATCTTGGGCTGTAATTAAAATAATTCTTCTTTTCCTAGGGCACACCAGATGTGAAACTGTTTTCCAAACCAGTGTCTCTATGTCTGCTTAGTAAATACTTACTGAAATCCTTCGTTTGCTCTGTAAGTAAATCAAAAGCATTTGACTCACAAACTGCTGGCTGGTGTAGTTCTAATTGTGCTGTCAGATACTTGCAGTTGATTATTAAAAGCATTAGAGGAAACTATTGACAATTTTCTGCTGATTGGATGATTTTAGCATATTTGTGAATACTGCTGTAGGGAAGGTACCTATCTGGAGACTTCATAGCATTGAGTTTTCATTACCAAGATAATAACAATCTAAACATTTGTGTAATTTTGTAAGTTTTGAGGGAGTACATCACTGAAATTTCTATTAGTCCTTAAAGTAACTTTTACTGTAAGGAACAGTGAATTAAGATATCCTGTAAAGAAACCACCTTCTTTGAACTGCAGAATATGTGTATCCTTAGGTGGCTATTTGTAATGCTATCTCACATGGAGAGCTGATATTAAATTGCTTTCTGACCTTGTGTAACACAGAGATTTTCTGACTTCCAGACAAAAAACAAGCGCTGCAAGCTGCTGCCCCTGGTCATGGCTGCACCCATGGATGTGGAACAGGGAACTGTGATCATGGTGGGGATTCCTCCAGAGACAGAAAGCTCAGACAAAAAGAAGTAAGAAAAGTGTTTACAAGTTCTAAATCTGTCTCTGAAGTAAATATACCTTTCCTGTACTATTTAATACTGATTATGTTTACTTGAATGGTATCCTTCTCAAAAACACACCTGCATACTGTGTGCATGGGGTACTTTGAGAGAGGATACAGATCTTCAAGCAGGATCTTGCAATCCTTGCAAGGTTTTTCTTTTCCTTCCCTCTTAAAAGAGGGAAATAGTTCCTTATATGGCCCATGACTTCATTTCTAAAAGCCTCCAATGTAAAAATTTTTGCAAACGAATAAGTGAGGTGTGTGTTGAATACACAGCACCTGTAAAAACATCTGGAATCCATTTCCACCTCTCAGCCAGAAAAAAGTTCCTTGCTTCTACCTCAGTAAACATCCTTTCCCGTGACACTCATCCGTATTTCTGCTCCTGCCTCAGCTTTTTTGGAAGAGCCTTCGAGAAGGCTGCGGAGAGCACGAGCTCCCGGACGCTGCACAACCACTTCCAGATGTCCAGTGAGTAGCGGGGCCCGCAGGGGGCGGTGCTGGCTCAGAGCCTGCCTCCCACTGCACGAACCACAGAGCACCCAGCCCGTGCACAAATCAGAGCACCCAGCCCAGGCACAAAGCGCAGAGCACCCAGCCTGGCTTTCTGGGACTGTCTGCATGTCAGTTCTGCATGCCCTGATGGTTTGCACATGTGCCCTTCACTTCACAGTCCTTGATGTTGTCTGTGAAGGCTTTAAATTTAGCAGCGTGATATTGATGGGATACTTCAGCAGTGAAATCAGCCTATCTTGCCCATGCTTAAAAAAAGAGGCTTTTTAAACAATATCTATCTATGCATGTTGAACATAATCAGAAATATTCTTAGATTTAAGAAGTGCCTGCTCTGTTGTGGAGTGAGCACCTGTGGTGGTTCTCATTCCCATGACGAGGGAAGAGATGAGAATCTTGACTCCATGTTTCAGAAGGCTGATTTATTATTTTATGATATATATTATATTAAAAGAAAATTATATACTAAAACTATACTAAAATAATAGGAGAAAGGATTTCATCAGAAGGCTGGCAAGGAATAGAAAGAAAGGAATGATAACAAAAGTTCGTGACACTCAGAGAGCCCGAGCCAGCTGACTGTGATTGGCCATTAATTAAAAACAAACAACATGGAACAATCAAAGATGCACCTGTTATATTCCACAGCAGCAGATAATTATTGGTTTTCTTTTCCTCTGAGGCTTCTCAGCTTCTTAGGAGAAAAATCCTGACAAAGGGATTTTTCAGAAAATATCATGCTGACAAGCACCTGCGAATTAGTTTGCTAATATTTAAGCACAAAATAAACGATGTCCTTTGCATTTTGCCCAAATTGCTTCTCCTTCTTAAAGATGGGTAAAAATAGAAATTGGTATACTCAGGCTTATTGTTCTTCAAGAGAAGATACCTGGTATATCTTCTGGTGATATCTGGTATATCTGTCAGTTATTTGCATCCTGTAATAAAATATTTCATATTTTAGTAATTGAATTGAAAACAGAAGATCGGAGCAAGTTTCTGGATGCACTCATTTCTCTCTTGTCTTAAAGGTAAGACACTGTAAGGATTACTTTAAAAATTATTATAAATCAAGTAACCTGCCACTATCTGTAGAGTATTTTTGTAAAATGTGGCAACTTTTAGTGAAAATATAAATTGAAGCTGAGAGTTTCTTACAAAGACAACTGTTTTCCTTTGGAGGAGGAGGCAGACAATGTGAAAGCAAAATTTTTTCATCCTTAAGAGATTTATTTAAGTTTCATCATCCCTGTGCTTCTCTGTCATTGTTCCTAACTTTTTGTGGCTTTTTAACTCATGGTGGAAAAGGAGTTTGTGTTGTGAGAGAAATATTAGTTAATTGTAGCTGATCCTCTGTTACTGACATTTAATTCTGATGGCTTCTTTGAGCTCAGGATGGAATTTTGGCCACAGCAATGCCACTGGCTTTGATGTTAATGAAGAATTTGCATTTTTCTTTCCCACTGTTAGGGTTGTAGCCTAGGTTGGTGTGCAGTTTCTACCTGGAACAGAGATGGGGATGTAATAATTTATTTGTGGTTGTCAAGTAGCTGCACACTGGTCCAAAGCTGCTTGTTAGACAGCAGAGGCATGCATGGCTCACAGGATTTCTACATCCATTTGTTCCTTTCTTTACCCTCTGACTACTGATTGTTTTGTCTTCTGTTCTTGTTGTGCAGTGGTGCCTTTTGGCTCCTTGTGCTGGAAGCTGAGGATGAGACCCTCTGAAATGATTTTGGATGTTCCAAAGTTCATGGTGCTGCAGTTTTGGTGTGTCTTAGGTACCGGTACAGGCCTGGACTGGTGTTTTTATGCCTTTTAGGAGGTCAAAGGGATTTTGATCTCAGCACAGAGGTATTGAACACATCTTTGTCTAAACATCCTACTCTGGTAATGGCAAAGGCTGTCACCTGGTATTTGTACATTGGATTTCTGTTTATCAAGCCTGCTTTTATTAGTAGATGTACTATTGCGATGTTCAGTTGTTGACTGACAACAAAAAATAGGTTTTGAAGTTCCATATTTATATTACTGTTCAATTGTACTTTTAAAGTTGTCTTGAATGCTTTTTATTTTTTAAATCAAACTATTTGAAACTCTCCTTGAAGTTCTAGAATGCTGAAAATGTTTTTTAGTTTTATCAGATTGAAGTCTTGTAGTTTAATTGAAAGACTTGTTTTGTGAGAGGAGTTTTTAGATTTCAAGGTTTTTAAAATCCAAATACTGAGCAACTGCCAAATACCAAATGAAAAATCCAGGGAATGCCAGCATCAATAAAGCCTTTTTAGTCATGCATTGTGATACTGTATTGTCACTTGTAGCTTGACTCTGGGAATAGTTTTCCTGGAAGGAGGCTGAAGCACTATGATAACTGTGTAGAGTTTAGCACTATAAATATTGACAGAGTAGCTTATCCTGTTCCATAGCAGATTTCATTTTACTTTGGTCATGAAATGGCTCCTTGACCTCACCCTGCTGTGTAAATGTGTACATGTGGAATGCTCCTGCTGGAATTGTTTGTCTGAATTCACTGTGACTTCGATGTTTTCATGTATTGTAACAAATACATAGAGGTTATGTATCATTACATCATTCTTTGTACATATTTTGATACAGATTAATTTAATATTAAATGTGATTTAAATGTAGCCAACAGCAACCTAATTAAACTATCTATTTTTATTCAAAGAAGAAGTTGGTTTGGGTTTTTAAGAACTTTTTTATATGTTGTCACCTTATCTGAATAAAACCCCTGTGCCAAGCTGGGATGGACAGAAAATTGTGCTTCCTAAGATAAAGCAAAGCTGCCTTTTGGTTTTGAATGCTTACTAGGTAGTATTGACAATAAATTGTATTGCCCCTTAGCAGCTCATTTTGGGTTTTGCAGCATACAGAAATTCTGTCACTTTTCTGAGCAACCTTGCTGGGCTTTAGGTCTCTGGAAATGGAAACACAGAAGTTTCTGCTGTCCTTTGAACAAGTAGTGCCAGGCCAATTAATATGTAAAAGGTACAAATGTCTGTGACAGTGAAGGGCACTTCTAAATGTTCTCACTTTATCTTTCAGCTGCAAACTGCTGGGTGAATTAAATTAGATAAATGTAGGAAATTCATTTATTTATCACAAAAGAATCACTGCCATTTCTGCAGTGATAAATGACCAACTAGTTTAGCCCTATCATATATTTAAGACTTCTTTTACTAGGTGATTGTCACGTTCTAAAAAATGGACAAATTTTCAGGCACAAGCACCCTTTAGCTTCAGCATGGTGTGTCATACTGGGAGGATGAGAAGTGGGAGTTAGTTTTTATGCTGGTATGTGTTGGTGATTGCTTCACTGCCAGGTTCTTCAACCAAACATGTGTAATATAAAACATAAACTTTACTTGTCCCTCCTTTATTGGTTTTGTTGGTTGGTTGGTTTTTGCTGGTTTTTAAGGTTCAATTTTTCCCAAGATCTGCTGGAAGTGCCCAGAATGCTTTTGCAAATTTTAGAATTGATCAGCTGTTGAATTGATTGCCAGGTCATCCAAATGTTGCCATAAGTCAGTCAGGAGTGTGGAATGCTGTGTAAAAAAGGAAGTTATTACATCTATGGGGACACCTGAAGGAGTTTCTGCCAAAAGATTAAAATTTTGCATGTCAGCATTTTACAATGTGGGCAATAGAATCTGAGGCTCCTTATGCAGTTATTTTAGGCTACAGAATTTGTTGATTAATATGTTAATGCTACCTGGAGAATAATTGTGTGAGGAGATTGTGGAGCAGTTTCATTCAGCAGCAATAACTTTGTGGTTTGAGTGGCCCATTGAAATTTGTGTAGATTGGATAACATGGTCACTTGACATCTCTGCCTGAAGAGATAATTATGCTTTTGATTGATTATCCCAAGCAAATTGTGGTTCTAATGACTGATTTTGAAATAGAGCACTGAGAAATCAGCTTAGCCTCTGAAATGTACAATCATATTCCACCTAGCCATGTCTGAATGCAAATAGAAACATTCCCTAAGGATTATACTGAAGCTGCAGTAACTCTTCCTGTGTTTGCTTGCTGTAATAGCAGCCTCCTAATCAGTTCTTTAAATATTTCTGCTGCTGCTAATCTGAGAACAATAGCAGTATAAAACAAATCCTTTAAAATGTTTTAGTTTTCCTTTAACAAAATAAAATGTTGAAAATCCTTAAATACCAAAGTACTGAAGCAGCTGAACAAGCTGATTTATGCCATTCCTGCTCAGTGATTCATGGCTGGGCTTTTTATGGGGTGATAGATTTAAACATAATTGAAATTGCATAGTAAAGATCTGATTTGATTTGAATTGAAGTGAATCCTCTTTTATGAAAGAATCCTGGTGACTTAATAGACTTGTACTTACCAGTGTCAAGGTTGCATGGTGGATAAGAATTCTTACCTCCTTTCATATTTCTCTTTAGAAAAAAAAAAGAAAAAATAAAATTAATGAATGTTACAGCTTCCTTGTGTGAAAAACCTGCAGAGTCTGTGCCAGTTTGACTGTGGCAGTAGCAGCCACAGGGGGAGGCCAGCGGGCTTTGCTCAGTTCTTGGCCTCTAACGTCAGAAGCAGGTGCTGGGGAAGGACAGAGAAACAAAGCACTGCATTTGATGCTTCCTTCCAGACACAAAGTGCTGTCCCAGTCCTTGTGCCCAAGGCCACCCTGAGCCAGGTGTGGTTTCTGTGTTTGGTCACTGTCAGTGTTTATCTGGGGTTCTGCATTCACTTCCTCCTGGGTCCTTGCATAATTCCAGCCTGTGCAGTGTTCTGTGGTGAGTAGATCTGCAGCACAGCTAAGTATTGTGTGAAAAGCTAAACACTATGGAACAGTGTAATAGTGCTGGTTGCTCTTATTAATGGAAGTTAAAATCCCTACAATGATTTCTAAGCAAATATTCATTATTTTTATTTGCTATTGTAAAACATTTTGTAATAAAGGACAGAAAATATTCCTGGCTTGAATATTGGAAGATATTAGGGGATTATGCCTTGATCTACAGAAGTATGTATGTTTATCATCAGACTTTTATGCTTTGGTACTTGGATGAAAATACAGTTGGTCCTACATCAATAGGAGCTCTAATTCATGAGCCACATAAATTTAGCTGCAGTATCTGCTCTTTCTTCCCACTCTTCCCTGTGACTGCTCCCTTAGAGCCTACTGCTCTGCTGCCATGGCAGAAGCAATAAATCAGAGCTATTTCAGAATCTGATGGTTTTAGCTGCTCTATCAGCAATTTGAGTTTATATTAGAAAGTAGCAATCATCACTTGTAAACCTGACAGGATCTGAGGGGCAGCCATTGCAGCCTTAAAATGCTGAATGGTTTGCAGAAGAGCTGTTTGACTGTTCAGTTAAATCCCATGTACTCTAGAGAACTCAGGCAGGAGAAGTACTTTAGAATTGTCATATTTGACTGTCTTTAATGCTTCAGTTTTCACTTTTTCCACTCCTGTTTTCAGGACAACATTTCCAGTGCTCACCTGTCCAGAAATACAAGAGAAATAAAACTTTACATCACTCCAATCACTAGTCTGGAGCACCCCAGTTGTAAAGTCCAGAAGAGGAAGTTTTAAAATCAGTCTCTTTTGTACAAGAGCTCTTTGAAGATGGTTTTGTTGTGTTGAATTGGCCTCTCAGGGAGTGCTGACTTGTAAAGAGGGGAGCAGTACAGAGCAGTATTTATTAAAAAGGAGATGTAGTAATCACAAGTGAGGAGGAATCAAAGCATAAAACACCAGGACTGTTCTCACGGCAATAAACAGCATCATTTCTTGGTTTTATGTGTACATCTGTCAATCAATGGTTTTGATTCCCTCATAGAAGGAATATTCTTGAAAACATTCCTCTGAAATTTCCTTTGTAAGTCTGGCTTGAGGGAAAGAAAGCAGTGAAATATTTGTTTCTTTAAATGGAAAAATTCAAATCCCTCTTGGCACTCGTGTTCCATTGTTGGCTTCAAGGTGGTACTAAAAGTTCCCTTGGAGCAGATTCAAGAGCTGAAAAATATGCTGCCCAGGGTGGAGCTCAAAAATGCCACCTTTATGTACAAGCATTTGGGTTATAAACACAGACTTAGCAGGAAATATTGCAGGACATTCACTAGGGAAAGAAAATTGTGGGAGCTTTTTATTTCAGACTGGATGCCATTCTTTTAAAGCGTTTGAGTTTTGATTTTTGGCATTCAGAAGGTGGCAGAATTAGAGAAGAAACACAAAGGTCAAACATGTTGAAAATAGGCAAGAAATCCCTAATTTCATGGTACCCAAGCTGATGCCATCCCTGGGTCTGACAGAGCAGAGAATGGGGGTTTCCCAATCACTGCTGCTGGGTGAGAGAATCATTTTGGCTTCCTCTGCCCCCTCAAGGCAGCTGTGGCTGCTGGTTCTTATCCTGGCATGTGTTACCTTGGCATCCTGTCTGCTCCATGGTGTGCATCTGGGCAATGCACTAAAATCTCAATATCCAGAGATAAAGACTTGTCTGGTAATTCGATATCACAACAAGCACTCAGCAGAGTTGCTGATGCAGGATATTCTCAATGAGCTGAAGGCTCACAAGTCATTCTGAAATTAGAATTAAGACCAATCCTGTAGGAATTTATGGGCAAGCCTAATCATATGTTATGAACTAAACTAAGGTAAAATGTATACACAAGCTGTATCACAACATAGTTCCTTCCAGTGCTGGATCTCAGGTTATTTTATTAAGAGA